TCCGATCTGATCTGGGATCTGCAGATTTGATCTGAGTCAGATCGGTTCGGTTTTCAAAATTTTGATCTGTAGATCAGATCGAATTTAAAAAAAATCTGATCTGATCAGATTCAGATCGGATCAGATCAAACACGAGAAAATCTGATCCGATCTGAACAGATTTCGGATCAGATTTTTTTTTTAAATTTTAAAAAAAAAAAATTCATTTTTTTAAAAACCCTTTCCTGAACGAACGACCGCCGGATGACCAAGATTTAAAAGAACGAACTAGGTAAGTTCGTTTCTTTTTTTTTGTTATTTTTACTTGAGGGAACTTAATTAACGGTTTCCTTCTTTTTTATTAGGAAGCCTGAACGAACGAAGCCTAACGACCAGGATTTAAAAGAAAAGAACGAACTTATGGTGAGTTCGTTCTTTTTTTTTAAGGTTTTTTTTTATTTTTTATTTAAGGGAACGTAATTAACATTCCCTTTCTTTTTTTTAGGAAACCTGGACGTAGACGAAGTTATTAACAACCAGGATTTAAAAAAAATGAACTATGGTAAGTTCGTTTCTTTTTTTAAGGTTTTTTTTTTATTTTTACTTAAGGGAACGTAAATAACGTTCCCTTTCTTTTTTTTAGGAAACCTGGACGTGGACAAAGTCATTAACGACCAGGATTTAAAAAAAGAACGAACTATAGTAAGTTTGTTTCTTTTTTTAAGTTTTTTTTTAATTTACTTAAGGGAATGTAATTAACGTTCCCTTTCTTTTTTTTTAGAAAACCTGGACGAACGAAGTCGTTAAGATGTTAACGACCAGGATTTAAAAAAAAGAACGAACTATGGTAAGTTCATTTCTTTTTTTAAGTTTTTTTTTTAATTTACTTAAGGGAACGTAATTAACGTTCCCTTTCTTTTTTTAGGAAACCTGGACTAAAGCTCCGAACAGGTCGGTTTAGTCCAGATTATAGACGGTTCAGATTAGAGCCGAAATCTGTAAGAACCGAACCGAAAAACTGGCAGTTCAGTTCAGTTTAATCTGATTTTTATAAAAATGCGAAAAATCGAATAGCTGGCAATCTAGTGATTGTATAAAGTCGAGCCATATATCATTGGATTCGCCTCGACGAGACGCGTCGAATGGTGGTAAGATCATGTCTCTAGCATCGATAGAACACACGTTAATCTACGCTAAATGATTTATCAATAATTGGAATTAGCAAGCTATCTATCGGTGCTAGAGACATGATCTTAGCACAATTAGAAAAGTATAAGTAAGACAAATCCAATGAATATAAATTCGTTCGTGTACGACCACTAGATGGCGAATAATATCAAGTTTCGCATTTTTTTAAAATTTTCGAGTGTTAAAATTAAAAATTCTGATACATGAATTTATTCGTCGTCCAATGGTTGTACAAATATGAATTAGAACTCATTGGATTTGTCTCGATGAGATGAGTCGAATGGTGGTAAGATCACGTCTCTAGCATCGATAGATAGCTTGCTAATGCTAATTTTTTATAAATTATTTAGCGTGAATTAACATAAATGCTAGAGACATGATCTCACCACCATTCGACTCGTCTCATCGAGACGAATCCAATGAGTCCTAATTCATATTTGTACGACCATTGGACAACGAATAAATTCATGTATCGGAATTTTTAATTTTTAACGCTCGAAAATTTTAAAAAAGTGTGAAACTTGATATTATTCGCCATCTAGTGGTCATACACGAACGAATTTATATTCATTAGATTCGTCTTACTGAGACGCGTCAAATAGTGTTAAAATAATGTCTCTAGCACCGATAGATAGCTTGCTAATTCCAATTATTTATAAATCATTTAGCGTGGGTTAACGTGTGATCTATCAATGCTAGAGACATGATCTTACCACCATTCGACGCGTCTCATTGAAAGGAATCCAATGATATATGGCTCGACTTTGTACGATCACTAGATGGCCGGCTATTCGATTTTTCGCATTTTTATAAAAAATCGGATTAAACCGAACCGAACCGCCAGTTTTTCGGTTCTAATACCCAAACCGAACTGAACCGAATTTTGAGCCGGTTTCAGATCTGTTCCCCAGTTTAGCCTGAACCGTTCAAAGCTTTAACTTGGACGCAAGACGAAGCTTGAATGACCAGGATTTAAAAGAACGAACTATGGTAAGTTCGTTTTTTTATTTTTATTTTTATTTTTATTTTTTTTTACTTTAAGGAACATAATTAACGTTTCCTTTCCTTTTTTTAGTACAAGGACCAGATCCGAACCAGATTCAGATCGGATTCAAATCGGATTCAAATGGATCTGAACCAGATTCGGATCAAATTGAACCAGATCTGATCAGATTCAAATCAGATCAGATCTATTAAAATAAAAATCAGATCAGATCAGATTTAAAGCTAAATCCGGTCTGAACCGATCTGTTAGGAGCACTAACTTTGAACAATAGCAAGAAAAGTTCGCGCAATGGTAGATCAAGTAGTAGAATATAAGGATTTTAATATACCGTATCCATTATTCATAGTAAAATATGTTATAAACGTATGATTTAATATATCGTATCTATAGCAGAAATGAATGATACGTTATAAACGTATGAATTTAATATACTGTATCCATATTTTGCGAACAGTATACAAAATACTGATATACAGTATAAATATATTTATACAATATACGTTACAAATGTATGAAATTAAAATACCGTATCATACAGTCTATTCACCGTATACTTTGTTACATTTTTTATTATTAGCATTTTGCGAACAGTATACATAATACTGATGTGCAGTATATAAAATTGCGAACAGTATCAAAGATGCGAATATACAGTATATAAACAGTGTGCATATTTTTTATAGGGGTATAATAATCAGTATAAGTTAATTTTTCACCAAAAGACTGAACGAGTTTTCATTTAACAATCAGTATCAGTCGATTTGTAATTGATTTTACCAATTTTTACCATTGGTCAAAAAATGTGACGAATCACATGACCAATCGGCAAAATTTATGCTGAAAGCTCTTAACGGTTAAAAGTTTTGATTTTGATCAGTGTATGATGCTTGTACCAGATTTTGCAATAAAACAAATAATAACACCTCAATTTTGCCAATGCTGATATTTGCTTTTTTTTGTTACTGTACCATTCAGCTACTTTTAAAATGTGAAAAACTTATGAATTGAGTGAGTGTGAGAAAATTATTAGCCTTTAGAAAGGATGAGAATTCATAAAGCTATCAGTCGTGTTCTAAAATTTCCAAAAAGTACTGTTACAGACACGATTATTCGATACAAAAATTTTAATACTGGATTAATGGCTAAAAGAAGAGTAAGAAAGAATTCCATCCAAAACTTACATTAATCTAATTGAGAGCATGCCATGCTGAATTGAAGCATGCATTAAAAACAATGGATAGCCAACTAAATATTAATTATTATTAATAAAATATGATCTTTATATGTTGACCGGATACTTTTAGGAGGGTAGTATATTAAATTAATATCGAAATGATATCATTGCAATATTATAATGATATTATTTGCAAATCGATATCATTATGATATATATTTAATATTATTACTATATCAATTTGGTATTGTTCAAAAATTTAAGGTTTCTGTAAAGTATTTAACGATAATTATTTGTTATTTAATTTGTGATTCAGATAAGAATAAGTGAGTAATTTTGCGATCCTAAATGTGGGTGTCCTTACATATATAAATCCATCAATTTTTAGCCAAATCATTTGAAATTTTTACTGAAAAAACTTNAAAAAAAAAAATTTCACTCAAATTTATTAGTCGGAAATAATATTGAAAAAAACAATCTCAATAAACAAAAAAAGTTCTCACTAAATCAAAAAAATTCTCACTAAAAAAAAAATTTTCTCGCGAATTAGTAAGAAACAATATCATAAACTAAAAAAATCCCACTAAATATCGAAAAAGCCGTAGGACATAGTTCTAATCCGATTATAGTCTTGACCCAAACCAAAAAAAGAATAAACAATATTTTTTGGGTTAAAAAAAAAAAATTCCGAAAATTTTGATAAATTCTGATTAAAAAAAAAAATCATAAAAAAAATCAATAAAAAAAAGGACTAAAAAGGTAGTTTCAGTTTTTACGGTAAAAACTGAAAAATAAAAAAATTATTATTGTTTATCTAATAGAAATGGTTAGTTGTGGCAATAAGAAAAATTAAATTTTTTTTTGTTAGTATTAAAATCCATTAGAATAAAAAAAATCCAGTTAAAAAATTAAGATTTTATGATAAATACGAAATAAATCGGACGACTCGGACGTAAGAATATCACACTTTTTAATGTTACACAATTTAAATTATTTATACGGGGTAATCTAAATATGGCCAATATAAAGATATATGATAATAAAAAAAATGTATAAAAATAAATAGTAAATAAAATATTACATAAAAAAATATTATTATAGATTATTATAAAGAGAAAAAAACTGGAATGAAAAGTATTAAAAATTCAGTTTTTAAAAAAAAAAAAATGGAAAGAAAAATTATTAAAATTTTGATTTAAAAACCAAAAAAAATAATATATTAAAAAAAAGATCCGGTCTTGAAGAAGAGGCCAATGAATTCAAAAATAGTAATTTCAATACAACCATTACAAGTGTAACAGTTTTTTAATTATTGGCAAATAATAAAATCGTATTTTGTCTTATATAGTAAATTTACATACTAGTTACTACTCACTAATATCATATTTTCCGTTCTTTTGATTGCAAAGAAAACAAGTCATTTTGAGGAAAAAATTTCTTTCCGGAACGAATGATGTAAAATGTACTGTATATATTACAAAATAATGTAATATATATCAATGTAAACATAAGCCAAAAAACGGTACGCCAAGGTCACATGGAAGAAGAAGTTTGTTGATTGATGATACTGAGGATATTTAGCGAAATTTCATATGATTAGTGGAACGAACAACTCATATATCACTTATCACTTACAGATTCTATCATATAAATTATGAATTCACCCGAAAATTATCCATACTTTTATGTTAATGAAAACAAGAAACAATAGGAGAGGATATAATAGATAAAAACAGCAGATAACATGAGAATGATTTGAACCGTTAAAAAGTTTGTCCTATTATTTTATTATCGATCGTATGCGTTACGTTTTATTTTACATGATTATTTATAGTAATATATTATTACAAGCTTGATATATTAAATAATTAAAAAGCATCTATTATACCTTAGTGTTATATCAACATATAATTACACGTCAGGCGTCTCGACAGCATGTTCGTAGAAATCCGTTTCTACATAGTATTTTGCAAGTAAGTTCTTGAATTCAGTTTGATTGCTTATTTTACTCGTTTTAGTAACACTATCACTACCCTTTTCTTCTTCTTTCGAGATATTTAACTTTGTGCTTCTTTCACCATTAATTTTCTCCAATTCCTCAAAAAGTTTCTTCCTATCCTGCTTTATGAATATAAAACGTGACATGAACCCGAATGGATCCACCTTTTTTTCACCAAAGAGAAAGCCGAAAATTCCCCAAATACCAAGATAACCGCCGATATTAGTAAGAAGGACAGCTATAGTGAGGGATGGATTTTCAACCTGCGCTACAATGTTCTCGGGTGCGATGATCCCGACATCATATGCTGCTGCCGGTCGAGAGTAATCTATGAAACCAAATGTTCCTACGGAAGATAGCTGAAAATTTCGATAAGAGCTTCCATTCAAAGCTTTATGGTGAGTTTCTGCATATTGGAATAAGCCACCCACACCATTGAAAAATAGAAATCCTATATTACTAAATTTGTTTCCCTGAGGAATATAGGTTGGGTCCAGTCCATTTCATTGTTGGTGTCACCAATGAAGACAAAAGCACCACGATCACTATCACCAACTATACTGCTTATGCCACTAGCATTTTCATCTTGACCAAAACCTAAGACATAAAATCCTCCAGCGTTACCCCTCAGCTTTGACGATGAAGATGATGTACCGTTAAAAAACCTGCACTTGCCATTACTCCCTATAAGATCACTAAAGTCACCAACTAAATCATCAGGTAGCTCAACTTTATTAATATAGTTATTAAAATTGGTATAATATTTGGCCGTAACAAGTGTTGGTCCATTATGTATTAAACAGACAAGTATAGATGGTGGACTTTTGTTCAATTCTACCGTCAAAGAAAACTTGGGAGGATCATGGATCATTTTATAGATATTATATACTATAACTCCTATCAAGCCAGCAGTTAGAAGCAAGAAAACGATTATCTTAAATATTCTTGTGTGGGCGCTTAGAGTATTGTCAGCGACGAAAATTTGTCGGCGGAGGTGTGGAAATTGAAAAATTCGTACGATGAATATAAGAATTATGATAGTTACACAGCGATAGCGAACAAGCCGGGTATGCCATTGAAAATCTCATACAATTTATGATCCATATTATATTTTTTAGTTTTTTACTAATATTTTTATACTTCTAGGTTGTGTGAAACAAGAATAGAGAGTATATTTTTGTCTTTTTTTTGATATTTTATTTCTTCCTGTTGCATTAATTTTTTATGGTTAATTTATAAGGAACTCAAAACCCATCATTTATCAATATTATCTAAGTTAATTCGATTCTTTTACGTACTTTGTTGATTGTTCTCGCTATAATTTCCAAAAAACTACAGTGGCAAGTGCATTATGCATTATGTTATTAATTGTTCTCGTTAAAATCCAAATAGAAAGTTTACTTTTGGTACACAATATAATGCATGTATCAAAGTTACTCATTGTTTAGAAAATAATTTACGGCACATGCATGTTTTGAAACACACCCGGAATACAAAGTTTTTATGCAAACAAGTCCATGACGATCAAATCCTAAAATGGTATCATATGCTTTATAAATAGCTAGTTTCGGATCTTGTATTCGTTTGATCTATCCTTGAAGTCTTTTTGGGGATAAAACCAGGAACATTTATAGGTAACAAGAAAGGTCAAAAATTTTATAATAGTTCTACACAAGGTCTTTATAGGACTCCGAACTATACTGATATGGGTGGGCGTCGCAACCTTAGTAGCCTTTATTTAGTTAGAATTTAAAAATGCGTATAATTGGTTAAAAATTTCAATATACTAGTTAGATTTTAACTTTGCATAATTTTAATAGTAAAATATTGGGTTTGCTCATTTTATATATTTTTTGGAGATAAATTTCCTTTTTTAGAAATGGAAGTCTGTTACGCATACCACGATAATCAAAAAAAATAAATCTTTTTTTTTTTTGAAAAATTCTACAAAATGTTTCGTTGAAAATATTCTAAGAAAATATGTTGCCCATGTTGTTCATGCAAAAAATAGTATGTACTGTATATGTGGAAAAAACATTAAATTAAATCGCAAATATGAAGTTTTTTCAAGCCAGCTACGAAAGAAAATATTGAGAGTTTAGATGAGATGTATACAATACAGGTTGTTAATGAAAGTAATGAATAAATAATCGATTAAATTTTAAATTAATTTAAAGTTAGAGGATTAAAAATGCATATTTTATAAAAATTTTAGGAATAAGGAGTTATAAATGCGTACTTACCATAGTTGCGTACAGCTAATATTAATTTTTTTTGCTGGATATCACCTATATTAGTATGGTTCAGGGTTCTGTTCAGGTTAACTAACGTCTAGGTTAAGTTTCCTCAAAAAAAAAAAAATTAAAATTCAAAATCCTTTCTAATATTAAAAAATAAACAACTTTTTATGATTTATTTTTTTTATAAGCGGTATTAAGAAGAAGAGTCATATTTTCAGTTTTTATCAAATTTAATAACTGTCTAATAGTTATCATAAATCTTAATATTATCGATAGTATCGATATTAGTCTTCTATATTAGATGACTAGTTATTTAGTTACCAGTGGAAAAATATTTGATCATCGATCATTTTTTAGTGATAAATATGCTTTATATATAAAGTAATTTCCAAGTTACTAATGTTTATTCTCGATATTTTGGTTTTATTAAATATATTTATTATTTTATAAACTAACTTCTTAAAATCGATGAAAAACTTTAAGTGACTAAGAAATTTATACGTAAAGCCAAAAGTTTGTGAAATTTAGTGAACATTATTCCCAGTCATGGCTTATTAAATTTAATTGTGTTTAACAATTATTGATATTCAAAGCATACACTAAAAAATAAAGAACTGAATAAATATAAAGCAAAAGGTTATAGTCAACCCAAAGTTATGTTGACCGTTCCCTGTAAAAAATCTGATCCGTGTTTTATCTTTCCATATTTTTTCCGTGAATGTATCATTTTAATGGAATTTATAGCCTTAAATTATGGAAATTTTCATCTCGCTAACACGGATATCCGTGAATGTATCATTTTCACGGAATTTTTACGGAAGACACGGAGAAATAATGGAAATATTCGGATAAAAATTTTTTATAGGGGTTGTGTTGGAGAGCCCCGCTGCCACGCCCTCCCGTTCTTCATATATATACAATGACAGAGAGGTGAGCTGGCAATACTTTAAATTAAAGTATATAAGAAAATCACTAAAATACTTTTATTTGAAGTTAAATAGCTTGTATTATGAGAGACAATTAGACTAAGGAACTGAGATAAAATTAATGAAATGAAAATAATATATGATCTTAGTATTTTGAATATTTCTAAAATATTATGTTTCAAATAAAATTAATACATTTCATCCAATGTAATAAAGATATTGTATGTTTAAATTTTTGTGATTTGAAATACTTCATAATCTTCTATAGAAAATAGATCTTCGGTATCTCTTATTATTTTTTCATAATAATTCTTTCTACAATATCTATGACTATAATCTTCAAAATCACTAGAACTTGAATATATAATAAGGTCTTTTCCAAAATAAGGACCAACATAAGAACCATTATAAAATGCATATTCTGTATTTTCTATATTACTAATAATTGAATCTTTAATATTATCAATCTTAAAAGAAAAAATAAAACTATCCTTAGTTTTACACCAACCACCAGAAGATTCCCATTTTAAAGGATTATATCCGCCAAGAATTTCTTCTGTTTCTTTCACTTTAATAAATGTAACAGTATAAAGTATATCATTACATAATTCATGAAACTTATTAGGAGTAAATCCATCTCGACTTCCTCTTAACAATAATTGAAATTTATATGGTAAATATAATTCTCTTAAATGATCAAATTTATTATTAATTACCATTTTATCAATCCGTCTTGAAATTGTTGAGATAATACTTAAATTATTAACAATTTTTGAATCAATGATTTCATCATTTTTAATATTTCTAGGAAGTGAAATATTATTAATTGATTCACTATCAGGATACAAATGAGAATTTAATAAATCTTCATAAAGTTGACCTTTTAAGAGTTTTTTATAAGGACGAACTTTTTGTAAGAACTCTTTTGATGATAAACTAAAAAATCTAACCAAGGGTAAACAATGTTGTAAAGTATTTTCCATTGTTTTGAAATCGTCATCTGACCAAGTATTAGGATCTGGAAGAATCGTGGGATTTTGGGCAAGACCCCATTTTAACACATGCTCCCAAACTTCGATTTCTTTCATTTGTAAATCATCGTTTTTAATAAGTTGTACTAAAGATTTTTCAGGAAGTGATGTGAAATCAAGTGATTTAAATATATTTTCTGGAGAGTTTGCCATAAAATTCGTACAAAATTGTTGAAGTTCCAACAAAGAATTTGATTGAAAGCTTGTTCTATGAACAAGTTCAAAATGTTGTTCCATCCATTCAGATTTACTCTCAATAAAATATTTCTGCAAATAATCAACTATCTCTTGAAAAAGAAGCTCACTCGCAGCCAATAAAGTATTGAAAATCTCTGAAGTGTCTTGATCATTTAATGAAAGAATACCACCATAAATATACCTATACAAAAAAATTTAAAGTTCGAATTTAAAAATTTTGAGTCTATGATATTTCATAAAAGGTTAATTGTATATAAACTTACTTTAAAATAATTTGAAAGACTTCGGGCGAAATATTTGATAATTCAATATGAGCTAAAATATTCTCCGGCTTATTTCGATTTTTGTTAGAAGCTAAAATTCTTCGTAAGTATGGAGATCGGTAACACAAAATGCTCGTGTGCGCACGAAAGATTTTTACATTAGGATCTTCGCCAACTTCAATTGTAATATCATAATATTCATCATCATCTAATAATTCAATATAGTTTTGACTTAACTTTGAAAGAAATTGCGTTGACATATTTTAGTAAAAAAAAAATTAGTTTAATGTGGGAGAAAGTGCATAAAACTACAAAAGTTTAAAGTTTAAATAATTTATTTTAATTTATTTAATTTATTTCAAATATAAATATTGATGCAGATTGTTTCCAAATTAAAATTTTAAGTTTTCATTACGTCATAGTTTGTCGATAATCATTTATTATTATGATACACTATGCAATAGACAATAAAAAAAAATCAAAATCTTCACTAATATAAAAAAATAAACAAATAAACAACATTTATTAACAGTATTAAGCCATGAGAATCAATAATAAAAAAGAAGAGTCATATTTTCGGTTTTTGTCAAATGAGTAAAAATTTAATAACTGCTTAATATCGTAGATTTTTAATATTATCGGTAGCATCGATACTAGTCTTAGTTAACGGTTTGATCATTCGATCATTTTTTAGTAATAAATATGTTTATATGGAGTATTCACTAAAATTTGTAAGTTACTAATGCTCATTCTCGATATTTTGTTTTTATTTGATGCATATAAACTAGCTTTTTAAAATCGATGAAAACTTTAAGCAACTAAAGAATTTATACGTAAGGCTAATAAAGTTTGTGAAATTTATTTTTTACTCATTAGAAGGAGATATTAAAATTGATACAATAGTTAGTACTATGGCTTATTAAGTTTAGTTGTATTGAACAATTATTGGTATTTCACGCATTTCCTAAATGTAAAGGATTAGGTGATTGAAAGAAAAGTTACTCAAAGTTAATGTTAATCGTTGCATTGGAGAATAAAATTTGTCATGCTGTTACGCTCTCCCATTCTTCATTTGTACCGGAACAGAGAGGTGATTAGCAATACAATAAATTAAAATATAATTAAAATACATTTATTTGAAGCTAAATTGTACGTATTATGTCGTATTAAACTAAGGATCTGGGATAAAATTAATGAAATGAAATTTGAAAATAATTAAATACTAATTTATCGAAAATAATTAAATTTATAAAAACATAAATAAAACAACAACTTAGGTAATATTCAAAATTTTATTGAAGAATTTGTATGAGAATAACGTGTATAAATCCTAAAATTTGAATATTTCTAAATTAAACTATACATTTCAAGTAAAATAAATATTGTATATTTATTTTTTTTTATCTTTTTGTGATCTGAAATACTTCATAATCATCTATAGAAAATTGATCCTCGGTATCTCTTATCTTTTTTTCATAATGACTCTTTTTACAACATATTTGACTATAACCTTTAGATTCTTGATATGAATGTATAATAAGGTCTTCTCCAAAATATGGACCAATAATAGGGTCATTAAAAAATGCATATTCTGTATTTTCTATATTACTAATAATTACATCTTTAGTATTATTATTCTTAAAAGAAAAAATAAAACTATCTTTAGCCTTATTATAACCACCAGAAGATTCCCATTTCAAAGGATTATATCCACCAAGAATTTCTTCCGTTCCTTTTACTTTAATAAATGTAACAGTATAAAGTATATTATTACATAATTGATGAAACTTTTTAGGAGTAAATCCATCTCGACTTCCTCTTAACAATAATTGAAATTTATATGGTAAATATAAATCTCTTAAATGATCAAATTTGCTATTAATTACCATTTTATCAATTCGTCTTGAAATTGTTGAAATAATATTTAAATTATTAATAATTTTTGAATCAATACTTTTATCATTTTTAATATTTCTAGGAAATGAAATATTATTGGTTGGTTCACTATCAGGATCCAAATGAGAATTTAATAAATCTTCATAAAGTTGACCTTTTAAGAGTTTTTTATAAGGACGAACTTTTTGCAAGAACTCTTTAGATGATAAACTAAAAAGTCTGATTAAAGATAAACAATTATGTAAAGTATTTTCCATTGTTTTGAAATCATCGTCCGACCAAGTATTAGGATCTGGAAGGAGTGTGGGGTTTTGTGTAAGGCCCCATTTTAATATATGTTCCCAAACCTCAATTTCTTTCATTTGTAAATCATCTCTTTTAATAAGTTGTACTAAAGATTTTTCAGGAAGTGATGTGAAATCAAGTGACTTAAATATTTTCTCTGGAGAGTTTGCCATAAAATTCGTACAAAATTGTTGAAGTTCTAACAAAGAATTTGATTGAAAGCTTGTTCTATGAACAAGTTCAAAATGTTGTTCCATCCATTCAGACTTATTCTCAATAAAATATTTCTGTAAATAATCAACTACCTCTTGAAGAAGCAGCTCATCCGCAGCCAATAAAATTTTGAAATTTTCTGAAGTGTCATGATCATTCAATGAGAGAATACCACCATAAATATACCTATACAAAAATTTAAATTTCTTATTTGAATATTTGAAAATTTATGGTATTACATATTAATTTATTGCCTATAAACTTACTTTAAAATAATTTGAAAGACCTCAGGTGATATATTTGGTAATTTAATATGAGACAAAATATTGGCTTTATTTTTTTTATTAGACGCTAAAGTTCGTCGTAAATATGGAGAACGGTAACACAAAATATTCATATGAGCACGAAGAATTTTCACATTAGGATCTTCGCCAATTTCAATTGTGACGTCATAATATTCATCATCTGCCAATATTTCAATATAATTTTGGCTTAGTTTTGAAAGAAATTGTGTTGACATAACTTAAAATGCAAGTTTATGCCGGAGAGAAATACAATTAATCATTAATCATTGGGTAAATTTATATATTTTACTCATGTAACACAGCTATTCAATCGTGACCAATATGAAAAACATTGATGTAAATTCTTTCCAAAATAAAATTAAGTTTTTAAATACGACGTAACACATATTGTTGCTAATCATTTATAAATAACCGCATGAATTTTTTTCAAGCTTCGTCATTTAACTTAAATGAAAAAATATATATCAATATATACTAAATTAAACTTTCAATTTCGTATACTATTTATGGATATTAATAACAAAGTAAACGTTAACGGAGACTAATGGAATTAGTTAAAAAGATTATACTATATATATACATATATTTTTAAATTAGTAAAGCATTTTATTAATTATTTAAGTCTAGAAAAAGATTACATAATTATACAAAATGGATTATACTATATATAATAGATTTAAAATACTATCAAATATACTAAATAATGAATTAAATAAAATGGTCGTCTTTGGAAGTAGGGAAATTTCTTATTGAGTTATTTAATCCAAGATAACAGCTCAGTATTTAAAAATATTTTTTTGTATCATATAAATTCATTGTTTTTTTTAAAAAAAAAATGATAATCTTATATAAATGTAAACCTATAATTAAACAAATAAAATTTTTTACACAAAGATGTCAATTTTTTTTGTTTTTATAAACCATTTTTTCGTAATCTTAATGTTAATTATAAATATATCTATAATATGAAAAAATAATCTTTAGCAAAAATGAACTAATGAAGGGACAAGCAATATTTCCTTTTTTCGTTTAGCTGGAAAAGTTTATCATAGATCTTTATTAAAGTATTAATACCGATTATTTCATAAATTGAAATACCCTTGTACATCTTTTATATGATAAAATTTTTTCATACTTTACCGCTGAAAAATTCTTTATATTAATATTCAAACAATATTAAAAGTTCAAATTAATTTAATAACTCACTTTTTTTTTGAGAATACTAGAGAAATTTTTTATTATCAAAAGGCTTATTTGAAACCTGAATATATATTATATTTTTTTTATTTTCGAAAAAAGAAAGTTGACACGTAAAATAGACAATAATTCTACTATAATGTAAATAATGCAAATAATATAAATTGTTTAAATTTATGAAGCAAGGGATTACATAGATTACAATAATAAATTATTTTACACAGACAGTCTCGATAAACTAATCCTTAGAAAAATCCGACATATCAAGAAATCCGATATATCGAAAATAAATTACTAATCCGATATATCTATTGTACTATGATAATCCGTTCCCGGCTCAACTTTGAAGGTTCCGGTTTATTGAAGTTCCGGTTATCGAGACTTCCAGTGTAAATAATAATTAATTAGATAAACTTCAATGATAAAATTTTTAGTTGATTAAAAAAGAGATTTCAGATTTATAAAAAGTAAGTCGATATAAAATTTGATTATTCTTTTAATTAAGTTGTTTTTATTTATCAAACAAAAGATTTAGAATATTTATTTAAATACCTTCATAATTTTTATCGAAATTATTCAATAGTATCATATCTCTCATCTTTTTTTTTTTTTTTATAATAAAATCACATCTTTAATTTTTGAAAGAGAAAATAAAATCATTTTTATTTATACTCAAGAATTAAATGACTCTCATTTTTATAATTACTGAATATTCGATGATAAGAATTTCTTCAGTACTTAAAAATAATTTGAAAAACTCCTGATACATGTTATAACGTTACTTATCCTTTTTATTAAAACCAAGGCCTATCGTAAATAGTATGGAGAACGATAATATATAAATTGTCTTACTTAAGAATAGTTGGTTGTCAAAAAAAAATAGAACTTGTATCGTTAGTTATTAATTAAAGCTTTATATAGTCACTTTCAAAAGTTTATCAAAAGAATAATGCAAGGTCGCTAAGACACTACTAGATTATAGAACAATTTTACTTTCGCACTAGTCAGATTTAGTACAACGTTTTTAAAAGCACAAACTTTATTACAAACTTTATGAAAATTCATTAATGAGCTGTTAAATAACTGATAATGGTTAACTGAAGTTTATTTTATTGTAAAATATATGTAAATGTATTTATTATAAAGACTTAATCTAGCAATACTTTAAAATACATCTAACTCTTCATTATTTGAAATACTTCGTAATCTTCTATAGTAAAATAACCTGAAGTATCTCTTATTGCTTTTTCATAAAAATTCTTTTTACAGTAAGTGTGATTGTAATCTTTAGACGTAGACATATCGGAGGTGCCACATACAATATCAACGCCAAATTGTGGTCCTCGACTAGGATCATAATTTAATGCACGATTTATATTATTTACATTACTAATAATTGCATCTTTAATATTCTTATTTTTAAAAGAAAAAATAAAGCTATCTTTAGTTATACCCCAAGAATTAGAAGATTCCCATTTTAATGGATTATACCCACCAAGAATTTCTTCTGTTCCTTTTACTTTAATAAAGGTAATGGTATTATATTCATTATCACATAATTTGTGAAATTTTTTAGGTGTAAATCCATCTCTACTACCTCTCAACAATAATTCAAATTTGTATGGTAAATAAAATTCTCTAAAATTATCATCATTAATAACAATTTTATCAATCCACTTTGAAATAGTTGAAGCAATATTAAGATCAATAATTCGAGATTCAATAATCTGAGTGTCATTATCTAATAGGACTGTTTTTCTGGGACGTAAAATTTTGTGAGTTGAAACAATTTCAGGATCCAAATAATAACTCAACAAATTTTCATAGAGCTGATGGTCTAAGAGCTTTTGATATGGTCGGACTTTACGTGAGAATTCTTTAGATGATAGACTAAAAAATCTGACCAAAGGTAAACAATTTTGTAAAATATTCTTCATTGTTTTAAAATCATCATACGACCAAATATTAGGATCAGGAAGAAGTGTGGGGTTTTGTGCGAGACCCATTTTAATATATATTTCCATACTTCAACCTCTCTCATTTGTAAATCATCTCTTTTAATAAGTGAAATCAAAGATTTTTCAGAAAGTGAAGTAAAATCGATTGATTTGAGTATTTTTTCAGGAGATTTAGCCATTAATCTTGTACAAAATTCTTTGAGTTCTAGTAAATTATTAGAACGTGAAGCAATTTGTTGAGTAAACCCGAAATGTTGTTCTATCCACTCAGGATTATTTTCAACTAAATATGTTTGTAAATAATCAACAAGTTCTTGAAGATGGAGCACATCTGCAGCTACCAAGATATTCATAATGTCTAAAATTTCTTGTCCATTCAACGAAAGAATACCACCATAAATATACCTATATGATTATAAAATTTAATAAATAAATATTTATAATATACTAAATTTTAAATATATAACTTACTCTAAAATAATTTGAAAATTTTCCGATGATATATTTGAAAATTTAATATGAGATAATATATTCTCCTTATTTCGATTTTTGTTAGAAGCCAGAATTCTTCGCAAGTATGGAGATCGGTAACACAAAATATTCATATGAGCACGAAATATTTTTACGTTAGGATCTTTACCCACTTCAATCGTTATGTCATAATATTCATCGTCTTTTAATAATCCAATATAGTTTTGGCTTAATTTTGAAAAAAATTGAACAGACATTTTTTTTTTTTTTTTTAAAAAAAAAGAGAAGGAAAGAAATTTGAAATTTTTATAAAAATGGAAGTTCCGCATGATTTATAATTGATCCAGATAGCCAAAATTAGTATCTTGCGCGTGGCTTGTATTACTGAAATGCTTGAAATGTTTGGTATACTCCAATATAATATTTTTCACGTACTAAAATTAAAAATAATTTTTTAACGATAATTTTTATATTAATTAAGGTTTATACTGATTGCTTTCATAAATAACTCATTTATTTTATTTTTTTTTTTTTGTGAATTGCGATTAAGAATTAGTGTATAGCTAGCTTGCATTAACTAAAAGCCCTAAACCCTAAATTCAATAAAAATTTAAACGTAATAATTAATATAGTACTAATGCCTTGCTATTTTGAAAAAAAGAACACGAGAAAAGATTTTAATTATTAAAAGTATCCAAAGGATTTAAATGTGAATGGTCTTTTTTGAATAAGAAAGACGTTACACTCTGTTTATCTATAAATATTACGTGTACCTGCTACAAGCCGAATAATTTTCATGTTGGATATTATAAATTTCAATATTTACGGGAAAAACATGAAATATAAATAAAACACGGATTGACAACCCAAAATATATATAAAAGTTCTGAGGTGGTCAAAACCATTTAGTAAAACGCATTCATTTTTTCGAGGTTGGAATCATAATTTCAGTCAGCGTCCAAAAATTTATTGTAATAGCTTTCCACCTGTCACCTGGTATTAAAAGAATTTTTGCATGATTTTTTTTGGCTTGGTTGCACGCAAACTCAAACCTAACCTTTAGATTATTATCACGGATTTTAAATGTAAACAAAACGATGAGCTAAAAGATGAAGCATAAAAATAATTTTGATTTAATATATTTATAAAATATACTGATTTTATTTCCAAACCAGAGTGCAGTATTGAAATTTCACAATAAAAGAAATTGATTATGTTTTGTATTCTATAAACAATATTGTTTTTTCTTTTTGATCAAATTACAAACTCAACACTTAAATAGATGAAAACTTTTAACTTTCTATACTTATTTGATTTTTTAAAAATTGTGAAAGTTAAAAATCATCATTTTATAGTACTCAATCTAGATTAAATATAAAAAGTCAAAAATATTGAATCTTTAAATACGCCTATAATTGCCATAATTACTTAAAAAGGGATCTCTCATGATAATTTATCAACAACAATATTTTTGTTTCTTTAGTAAGAATATTTCATATATCTATCTCTTTATAACTTGAAATACTTCAAAATCTTCCATAGAAAATTGACCTTCGGTATCTCATCTTTTTTTCGTAATAATTCTTACTATAACGAATATCATTGAAAACTTCAGATCCATTTCGAGCACATGTAATAATGTCATAACCAAAAAATGGACCAATGCTAAAGTTATAACGTATTGCATAATCTGTATGTTTCACATAACTAATTATTCCATCTTCGACATTATCATTTTTAAAAGAAAAAATAAAACTATCCATAGTTTTTCCACAACCACCAAAAGATTTCCATATTATCGGATTATATCCACCAAGTATTTCGTCTTTTCCTTTTACTTTAATAAATGTAACAGTATGGGGTATATCATCACATAATTCATGAAATTTTTTAGGTGTAAATCCATCTCGGCTCCCTCTTAATAATAATCGAAAGTTATATGGTTCTTTTAAACGAGCGAAATTATTTTTAATATCCAATTTATCAATTTGTCTTGAAATAGTTAAAATAATATTTAAATTATTAACTATTTTCGAATTAATAATTGTGTCAATTTTAATATTTCTAGGAAGTGAAATATTATCGCTTGGTTTACTATCAGGATCCAAATGAGAATTTAATAAATCTTCATAAAGTTGACGTTTTAAGAGTTTTTTATAAGGACGAATACTTTGTAAAAAATCTTTGGATGATAAACTAAAAAATCTAATTAAAGATAAACAATGTTGTAAAGTATTTTCCATTTTTTTAAAATCATCATCTGACCAAGTATTAGGATCTGGAAGAATTGTGGGATTTTGTGCAAGTCCCCATTTTAATACATGTTCCCAAACTTCGATTTCTTTCATTTGTAAATCATCTCTTTTAATAAGTTGTACTAAGGATTTTTCAGGAAGCGACGTGAAATCAAGTGATTTAAATATTTTCTCCGGAGAGTTTGCCATAAAATTCGTACAAAATTGTTGAAGTTCTAACAATGAATTTGATTGAAAACTTGTTCTATGAATAAGTTCAAAATGTTGTTCCATCCATTCGGATTTATTCTCAAAAAAATATTTTTGTAAATAATCAACTAATTCTTGAAGAAGCAATTCTTCCGCAGCGATTAAAATTTTGAGAATTTCTAAAGTGTCTTGTTCATTCAATGAAAGAGTACCACCATAAATATACCTATAATACGAAAATTTAAAGTTCGAATTTGAACATTTGAGACTATAATATTTCGCATTTAATTTATTGTATGCAAACTTACTTCAAGATAATTTGGAAAACTTCGGGCGATATTTTTGATAATTTAATATGAGATAATATATTCTCCTTATTTCGATTTTTATTAGAAGCCAAAATTCTTCGCAAGTATGGAGAACGGTAACACAAAATGCTCATATGTGCACGAAGGATTTTTACATTAGGATCTTCGCCGACTTCAATAGTGATATCATAATATTCATCGTCATCTAATAACTCAATATAGTTTTGACTTAATTTTGAAAGAAATTGTGTTGACATATTTTGGTAAAGAAAAAATAAATTTAATGTGGGAGAAAGAGTATAAAATTATGTTTAAACCATTTTGAATTTATTTATGGTTGACTGACGCAGATTCTTTCCAAATTAAAATAAACGCCATACTTTGTGGAATTTAGTTGATTAGTGCGACATACTGCGCAGTTGACAATAATAAAAAGAATTTTTCCTTTTGATAGTACTCGAATACTAATGAAATTTGCTCTGTATATTGTATCCATTTGATATAATACTAGTGCCTGACCGAACCATTATGCCTCGAACTGACGAATGGATGGACCATTAAGAATGTTATTACACTCTTTTAATTAATTAAATTTCAGATAAGTTACACTTTCCGGCCTTAAGTTTGGTATTTAGCTTGGACTTTAGAAGATTTATTATATTTAAAATGTAATATTAAAATTAAAAATTATGGTAATTTAGGATCATTAACGAGGAATCGTTTTTATTATTTAGTGTAAATTTTAATATGTATCGTAGGCCTTTTTTATTATTAGTTGTATCGATACTAGTTCTAGTAAAAAAATTAATTAGTAATCCGCATAAAAAATCGGACAGTTTTATTAATGAAAATCAAAAAATATATGTATCATATGATATTTGTATTTAATATTCCTTCTAATAAAGACATCATTTATATAATAAAATTTAATATTAAAATTAGCAATTATGGTTAAAAAATATAGTGTTCATCTTCCTTTTTAATATAATTTTTCTTTTAATTAGAGATAGTAGAAGATAAAGTTTCACTTCGTGAATTTATTAGTATGCGCTCTGGTTTTCTACTTACTAATAAAAAATTAACAGTGATTTGACTGATTCGCCCTTAGTATTTCACCGATTCTTGTATGAATTGTGAATTAATTATTTTCTTTGCGTAACAGGTAATATTAGTTATAAATATACTACATATATGAATAACTAATTCTCTCAATTATTCAATTATTGTAAATATTTTAGACTAGTGAACGCAGGTCCGAAGCATAATCAATTTATTATTTACATCATGTAACATGTACAGTACATTGAAAACGTAAACTAAATACAAATCTATTAGTCGATAATCATGCACATTGCATCTGAAATGTTTAGAAGTAAACGGTCCTACGCTACGTTTCGGACAATAAATCAGCCTTTAGAATCAATGAAAACTTTAGATTAAGCAATTAAGGAATTTATATGTAAATTATAGAGATCATGGTATATATATTCAATTAAAAATATTAAGATAATTACAATAGTTATGTTTTACGAAATTAATTTTGCTAAAACATACTTTTATATGAAGTTAATTGACAAATGTTATGTAGGACGATTAGATTATGGATTGAGATAAATTAATGAATTGAAAATTTTAAAAATAATTTATTGGATAAAATATAATAACTCAATGGTTAATAAATAGTATATTAGAAATTGCACAAAAAAATAACATTTATATACTTTAAACTTGAATTTATACTACAATTTTCGAATAAAATTAATACACTTAATCTGATGTAAAAAGATATCGTATATTTATCATTTGGTGATTTGAAATACTTCATAATCTTCTAGAGAAAATATACCTTCGGCATCTCTTATCTTTTTTTCATTATAGCGCTTTCTACAATATCTTTTATTATAATCTTTAAATTCATCATGAGTTGAATATATAATAAGGTCACTTCCAAAATATGGGCCAATATTAGAGCCATTATAAAGTGCATATTCTGGATTTTCTATATTACTAATGATTGCATCTTTAGCAATATTATTTTTAAAAGAAAAAATAAAACTATCATTAGCCTTACCATAACCATCAGAAGATTCCCATTTTAAAGGATTATATCCACCAAGAATTTCTTCCGTTCCTTTTACCTTAATAAAGGTAATGGTATTATATTTACCATCACATAATTCATGAAATATTTTAGGTGTAAATCCATCTCGGCTCCCTCTTAACAATAGTTGAAACTTATATGGTTCTTTTAAATAAGCAAAATTATTTCTAGCATCCAATTTATCAATCCATCTTGAAATAGTTACAATGATATTTAAGTTATTAACAATTTTTGAATCAATAATGCTTTCAATTCTAATATTTCTAGGAGGTAAAATGTTGTCATTTGGTTTACTATTAGGATCCAAATGAGAATTTAATAAATCTTCATAAAATTGACGTTTTAAGAGACTTTTATAGGGACGAACTTTTTCCAAAAATTCTTTGGATGATAAACTAAAAAATCTAATTAAAGATAAACAATGCTGTAAAGTATTTTCCATTTTTTTAAAATCATCATCTGACCAAGTATTAGGATCTGGAAGAAGTGTGGGGTTTTGTGCAAGTCCCCATTTTAATACATGTTCCCAAACGTCAACTTCTTCCATTTGTAAATCATCTCTTTTAATAAGTTGTACCAAAGATTTTTCAGGAAGTGACGTGAAATCAAGTGATTTAAATATTTTCTCTGGAGAGTTTGCCATAAACTTCGTACAAAATTGTTGAAGTTCTAACAAAGAATTTGATTGAAAACTTGTTCTATGAATAAGTTCAAAATGTTGTTCCATCCATTCGGATTTATTCTCAACAAAATATTTTTGTAAATAATCAACTAATTCTTGAAGAAGCAATTCTTCCGCAGCGATTAAAATTTTGAGAATTACTAAAGTGTCTTGTTCATTCAATGAAAGAGTACCACCATAGATATACCTATAATACGAAAATTTGAAGTTCAAATTTGAACATTTGAGACTATAATATTTCGTATTTAATTTATTGTATGCAAACTTACTTTAAGATAATTTGGAAAACTTCGGGCGATATTTTTGATAATTTAATATGAGATAATATATTCTCCTTATTTCGATTTTTATTAGAAGCCAAAATTCTTCGCAAGTATGGAGAACGGTAACACAAAATGCTCATGTGCGCACGAAAGATTTTTACATTAGGATCTTCGCAGACTTCAATAGTGATATCATAATATTCATCGTCATCTAATAACTCAATATAGTTTTTACTTAAATTTGAAAGAAATTGCGTTGACATATTTTAGGCAAAGAAAAATAAATTTAATGTGGGAGAAAGAGTATAAAACTATGTTTAAAGTTTAAACCATTTTGAATTTATTTATGGTTGACTGACGCAGATTCTTTCCAAATTAAAATAAACGCCATACTTTGTGGAATTTAGTTGATTAGTGCGACATACTGCGCAGTTGACAATAATAAAAAGAATTTTTCCTTTTGATAGTACTCGAATACTAATGAAATTTGCTCTGTATATTGTATCCATTTGATATAATACTAGTGCCTGACCGAACCATTATGCCTCGAACTGACGAATGGATGGACCATTAAGAATGTTATTACACTCTTTTAATTAATTAAATTTCAGATAAGTTACACTTTCCGGCCTTAAGTTTGGTATTTAGCTTGGACTTTAGAAGATTTATTATATTTAAAATGTAATATTAAAATTAAAAATTATGGAAATTTAGGATCATTAACGAGGAATCGTTTTTACTACAATTTAGTGAAAAATTTAACATGTATCGTAGGCCTTTTTATTATTTGTTGTATTGATACTAGTTCTAGTAAAAAAATTAATTAGTAATCCGCATAAAAAATCGGACAGTTTTATTATTAATGAAATCAAGGGATATATGTATAATATGATAATTTTCAAAATTTTGTATCTAATATTTCCTCTAATAAAGGCATCATTTATATAATAAATTGTAATAGTAAAATTAGCAATTATAGTTGATAAATATAGTGTCCATCTTCTTTTTAATATAATTTTCTTTTAATGTTTCATTTCGCAAATTTATTATGCACTTTTGTTTTCCATTTATTAATAAAAAATTAACAGTGATTGGCCCTTAGTATTTCAGCGATTCTTGTATGGATTGCGAATTAATTATTTTTCTTTGCGTAATATCAGTTACAAATATATTATATATATAGTATTTCTGGCAACTGCCAACCAAAATCGTACAACATCTAAAGTTGTAGATGTTCCCTTTTTCTATGGACGTGATGATGAAGATCCATACGAATGGTGTCGACTCTTTGAAGCTGCCTTTGCGGCTAATGGATGGCCAGATAATCGAAAAATTGCTTTAGCCGCTGGATTTCTTAAGGAAGCTGCCCGAGATTGGTACGAAGAGGATAGAGAAAAAGTTATTAGCAAACTGTTCAGGTCCAAAGTATAATCAATTTATTTAACTCATGTGACACGTACATTCGAAAACGTAAACTAAATACAAAATCTATTGGTCGATGAACATGCGGGATAGAAGTCATATTTTAGAATCAATGAAAAGTTTAGATTAAGCATTTAGGGAATTTATTTATATGTAAATTTTATTATTGATTGAGATACTAAATTAATGAATTGAAAATTTTAAAAATAATTAATTGGATAAAATACAATAAGATTAATAAATGTATTAATATTGCAAACAAAGCGGCGTATTTAAATACTCAAATTAGAAATTGCGCACAGAAATAACAGAAATAACGTTTATATATTTTAAACTTGAATATTTATAAATTTTATATTTCAAATTTCGGATAAAATCAATACACTTAATCTGCTGATGTAAAAGATCTCGTATATTTATCATTTCGTGATTTGAAATACTTCATAATCTTCCAGAGAAAATATACCTTCGGCATCTCTTATCTTTTTTTCATAATAGTACTTTCTACAATAACTATGATTATAATCTTTCAATTCACCATTACTTGAAAATATAGTAAGGTCTTCTCCAAAATATGGTCCATTATTAGAGCCATTATAAAATGCATATTCTGGATTTTCTATATAACTAATAATTGCATCTTTAATATTATTAATCTTAAAAGAAAAAATAAAACTATCTTTAGTTTCACCCCGAACAACACCAGAGGATTTCCATTTTAAAGGATTATATCCACCAAGAATTTCTTCCGTTCCTTTTACCTTAATAAAGGTAAATGTATTATATCTATCATCACATAATTCATGAAATTTTTTAGGTGTAAATCCATCTCGGCTCCCTCTTAACAATAGTTGAAACTTGTATGGTTCTTTAAAAATAGTAAAATTATTTCTAATATCCAATTTATCAATCCATCTTGAGATAGTTATAATAATATTCAAGTTTTTAACAATTTTTGAATCAATAATGCTCTCAATTCTAATATTTCTAGGAGGTAAAATGTTGTCATTTGGTTCACTATTAGGATTTAAATGAGAATTTAATAAATCTTCATAAAATTGACGTTTTAAGAGACTTTTATAGGGACGAACTTTTTCCAAAAATTCTTTGGATGATAAACTAAAAAATCTAATTAAAGATAAACAATGTTGTAAAGTATTTTCCATTTTTTTAAAATCATCATCTGACCAAGTATCAGGATCTGGAAGTAGTGTGGGGTTTTGTGCAAGTCCCCATTTTAATACATGTTCCCAAACTTCAATTTCTTTCATTTGTAAATCATCTCTTTTAATAAGTTTTACTAAAGATTTTTCAGGAAGCGACGTGAAATCAAATGATTTAAATATTTTCTCTGGAGAATTTGCCATAAAATTCATACAAAATTGTTGAAGTTCCAACAAAGAATTTGATTGAAAACTTGTTCTATGAATAAGTTCAAAATGTTGTTCCATCCATTCAGATTTATTCTTAATAAAATATTTTTGTAAATAATCAACTAATTCTTGAAGAAGCATCTCTTCCGCAGCTATTAATAGTTTAAGAATTTCCAAAGCGTCTTGTCCACTTAATGAAAGAGTACCACCATAGATATACCTGTAATACGAAAATTTAAAGTTCGAATTTGAATATTTTAGACTGATATTTCGTATTTAATTTATTGTATGTAAACTTACTTTAAGATAATTTGGAAAACTTCGGGCGATATCTTTGATAATTTAATATGAGATATATTCTCCTTATTTCGATTTTTATTAGAAGCCAAAATTTTTCGCAAGTATGGAGAACGGTAACACAAAATGCTCATGTGTGCACGAAAGATTTTTACATTAGGATCTTCGCCAACTTCAATAGTGATATCATAATATTCATCGTCATCTATTAATAACTCAATATAGTTTTTACTTAATTTTGAAAGAAATTGTGTTGGCATATTTTAGACAAAGAAAAAATAAACTTAATGTGGGAAAAAGAGTGTTTAAACCATTTTGAATTTATTTATGTCTGACTGACGCAGATTCTTTCCAAATTAAAATAAAAATTTTACCACGCTATACTTTGCGATTTTCATTGGCTAGTGCGACATATTGCGCAGTTGACAATAACAAAAAGATTTTTGTCATTTGATAGTACTCGATTTGCTCCCCATTTGATGTAATAACGTCTGACCGAACCATTATGGATTGTCACTGAAGCGCTACTACACTCTTAATTAATTAAATTTCGGATAAAGTTACACTTTCTTACCTTAAGTTTGGTATTTAGTTTTGTACTTTAGAAGATTTATTATATTTAAACTAGAGTCATACCCTAGGGCCGGTGACCTGCCCTTTCTAAGAGTATGATATATACCATAAATTTTAACACTTATTTGCAGAAACAAAAGTATTGATAAGATATAATTTAAACTTTGTTTGAAATAAATAAATAATTTATTTTATTTTTTTTTTCATCTAAAATATTTTAATTTGTTTTTTACATTTTGATTTAATAATCTTGTAATTGGCCTTAAAAGAAGAATTTCTAAAAAACAATTTTTTTAAAAAAATTTTTTCGTTTCTAACCAAAATAAAATAATTCAATAAAAATTATTTCACATGATTAAAAACTTAATATTGTAGGATATTTCAAATCAAATTTGGACGATTTTATGTTCACATATGTTTTTAATAAATCAATTTGTGTAATATATAACTTTTTTTTAATAAATCAATTCATTTAATATATATTTTAATAAGTAAATTCATATAATTTTTTTTTTAATAATTAAATTCATATAATGTTTTAAATAATTAAATTTGTATTATGTTTTTTAATTATAATTTTTTACTAACAAATATTTTTATAATAAATAAATTTAATAAATTTGGGTATATAATTTTTCTTAATAAATCAATTCATGTAATATATATTTTAATAAGTAAATTCATATAATTTTTTTTAATAATTAAATTTGTATAATGTTTTTTAATGATTACTAAATTTGTATAATGCTTTTTTTTTTAATAAATAAACTCATATAATGTTTTTTAATAAATAAATTTAATAAATTCGGGTATATATATTTTTTATATACTGTAATTTGGATATATGTAATATTAAAAATAAAAATTATGATCATTAACTAGTGAAAAATTTAATATGTATCGTAGGCCTTTTTATTATTACTAATTGTATCAATACTAGTAGTTCTAGTAAAAAAAATTAATTAGTAATCCGCTTAAAAATTCGGACAGTTTTATTATTAATAAAATCAAGGGATATATGTATAATATGATAATTTTCACAATTTTGTATCTAATATTTCTTATAATAAAAACATAATTTATATCATAATAAAATGAAATATTAAAATCAATTATAGTTGATGATAATAGTGTTCATATTCCTTTTTAAAATAATTTTCTTTTAATTAGAGATAGTAGTAGAAGATAAAGTGAATTTATTAGTAGCATTTCGGTTTTCCACTTATTAATGAAAAATTAACAGTGATTTGCCCTTAGCATCATTGTACCGATTCTTGTATGGATTGCGAATTAATTATTTCCTTTGCGTAATATCAGTTAAATATAATACATATAGTATTTATTAAAATTTATAAATAACTAATTTTGGCTTTTATTGTAAATATTTAAACTAGGGAACGCAAACCGTTCAGGTCCGAAGCATAATCAATTTATTTACATCGTGACATGTACTATATGAAAACGTAAATTAAATACAAAATCCATTGGTCGATAATAAGCATGCGGGATAGAACGACATTGCAACTGAAATGCCTAGAAGTAAACGATCCTATGCTATGATTCGGACAATAAATCAGCTTTTAGAATCAATGATAACTTACTTTAGATTAAGCATTTAAGGAATTTGTATGTAAATTTTAGAGATCATGAAATATATATTAGAAATATTAAGATAATTACAATAGTTATGTTTTACGAAATTTAATTTTGCTAAAAAACATATAAAAAAAATCATTAAAATACTTTTATATTGCAAGACGACTAGAGATAAATTAAATGAATTGAAAATTTTAAAAATAATTTATTGGATAAAATACAATAATGATTAATAAATGTATTAATATTGTAAATAAAGCGGCGCATTTAAATTTTCAAATTAGAAATTGCAAACAAAAATAACGTGTATATATTTTAAACTTGAATATTTATAAACTTTATATTTTAATTTTCGAATAAAATTAATACACTTAATCTGCTGATGTAAAAGATATCGTATATTTGTCATTTTGTGATTTGAAATACTTCATAATCTTCTAGAGAAAATATACCTTCGGCTTCTCTTATCTTTTTTTCATAATAGTACCTTCTATAATATTTAAGATTAAGGTCTTCTCCAAAATATGGTCCAGTATCAGAGCCATTATAAAATGCATATTCCGTATTTTCTATATTACTAATAATTGCATCTTTAATATTATTAATCTTAAAAGAAAAAATAAAACTATCTTTAGTTTCACCCCAAGCACCAGAGGATTCCCATTTTAAAGGATTATATCCACCAAGAATTTCTTCCGTTCCTTTTACCTTAATAAAGGTAATGGTATTATATTTATCATCACATAATTCATGAAATTTATCAGGTGTAAATCCATCTCGACTCCCTCTTAACAATAGTTGAAACCTGCATGGTTCTTTTAAATAAGCAAAATTATTTTTAGCATCCAATTTATCAATCCATCTTGAAATAATTGTAATGATATTCAAGTTATTAACAATTTTTGAATCAATAATGCTCTCAATTCTAATATTTCTAGGAGGTAAAATATTGTCATTTGGTTCACTATTAGGATCCAAATGAGAATTTAATAAATCTTCATAAAATTGACGTTTTAGGAGACTTTTATAGGGACGAACTTTTTCCAAAAATTCTTTGGATGATAAACTAAAAAATCTAATTAAAGATAAAAAATGCCGTAAAGTATTTTCCATTGTTTTGAAATTATCATCTGACCAAGTATTAGGATTTGGGTGAAGTGTGGGGTTCTGTGCAAGTCCCCATTTTAATACATATTCCCAAACTTCAATTTCTTTCATTTGTAAATCATCTCTTTTAATAAGTTGTACTAAGGATTTTTCAGGAAGCGACGTGAAATCAAATGATTTAAATATTTTCTCTGGAGAGTTTGCCATAAAATTCGTACAAAATTGTTGAAGTTCTAATAAAGAATTTGATTGAAAACTTGTTCTATGAATAAGTTCAAAATGTTGTTCCATCCATTCAGATTTATTCTCTATAAAATATTTTTGTAAATAATCAACTAATTCTTGAAGAAACAACTCTTCCGCAGCGATTAAAATTTCGAAAATTTCTAAAGTGTCTTGCTCATTCAATAAAAGAGTACCACCGTAGATATACCTATAATACGAAAGTTTAAAGTTCGAATTTGAACATTTGAGGCTATGATATTTCGTATTTAATTTATTGTATGTAAACTTACTTTAAGATAATTTGGAAAACTTCGGGCGATATCTTTGGTAATTTAATATGAGATAATGTATTCTCCTTATTTTGATTTTTATTAGAAGCCAAAATTCTTCGCAAGTATGGAGAACGGTAACATAAAATGATCATGTGTGCACGAAAGATTTTTACTATAGGATCTTCGCCGACTTCAATAGTAATATCATAATATTCATCGTCATCTAATAACTCAATATAGTTTTTACTTAATTTTGAAAGAAATTGTGTTGACATATTTTAGGCAAAGAAAAAATACACTTAATGTGGGAGAAAGAGTGTTTAAACCATTTTGAATTTATTTATGTCTGACTGACGCAGATTCTTTCCAAATTAAAATAAAAATTTTACCACGCTATACTTTGTGGAATTTCATTGGTCATAGTTGATTAGTGCAACACATCATGGCGGATTTATGAAATACCCCAAAATTTGTCCGTCATGTCAAATTAAATAAATATTTGAGTCTATTTAAGTCCCAAATTTATTAGTGAAATCTTGCGTCTAACCAATTTTCCCATTATCTGACCAATTTTTCCAGTGTTATAGGCGCGTCATTATTTGACATTTTCTAGGAAAAAGCTTAATGTTTCTGTAAGTCAATTTTAATTCCCGAAGGCGCAGCAGGGTTTTTGCCAAATTTCATAAATCCGCCGCAATGATACTGCGCAGTTGACAATAATAAAAAGATTTTTGCCTTTTGATAGTAGTCTAATACTAATGTGATTTGCTCTATATATTGTATCCATTTGATATAATAATGCTTAAACAAACCATTTTGGAATTTCACTCCTCGAACTGACGAATAGATTAATCATTAGAAACGTTGCTACTTAATGGATAAATCTGATGTTTATTCCAGATTTATCCAAATTTTTATCAGGGATAAAAATTATTAATAAAAAAAAAGACTAAAAAGGTAGTTTTGGTCTTTACGGTAAAAACCGAAAAATATAAAAAAAATATTATTATAGAAATGATTAGTCGTGGTAATTAAGAGAGCGGAAATGACTGCAAATAAAATGCAATTAATAAGAAAAAATTATAGTTAGTATTAATTCATCAGAATAAAAAAAAAATCCAGTTAAAATTTCAATTAACTGGAAATGTATTAGTAGTTTAAAGGTTATCGTAGTCAGGAAGGTCGGACGCAAAATTTTTTAATTAGATAGAATTACTTCAAAAAATCAAGTAAATTGCGGATTTCGGATCACTAACCGCAATTCAACTCCAACATCTGCAATATCAATCAATTGCGGCACCATCACTACAATTTACTGATACCTTGTAAATTTACTGCTTCATCATATCTCGGTTTCCATATTTTGGTATAAATAAGTGTTATATATATATCAAGTTTTTAATGCCCACGTATACTCTACCTTAAAATGGTTATATTTCCAAATCTTAAAATTAATAATTCCATGCATTATTCATATAATAAATTTTCTAATAGGAATAGTCTTGATTTGACACAACCAAATCGTAGTATTTCTTTCATTTGTCCTTTTCTTCTATTAATGCGTTAACTACATCTTTCCATAAATCAAATAAAATGAACTTGTTTTTCATGCACTTCCGTATATGATCCCATGCTTCTGTTTCTTCATTACATCTTACACATTTTTCTGAAGAAGTTTCATAAACTTTTCTTTGATATAAAACTTCATAAGTTGGTAATAAAATTTTTGATTCTAAAAGCTCTAGTTTGAGTATCCAATGCATTAGTTGTTGATTTTGATACACTAATTTTGTTACGTATAATCATGAACAAATCAGTCAATTAATATTAAAACTTATGTTAATAGTGAATAATTGTTCTAATTGTTTTAATAACATAATTTCTGCTTTTTTTGTTAAGATAACTAAGCTCTTTGGCCCATTTTCTATAGCAACTTCAATTATAAAATTATTCCAACATAAATTAAATTCATCAACAAACATTTTATTCCAGATAATCCCGATGTCTATCTTCATTCCTTCAATCTTGACGTTAAATTCTGATATGTCTTCAAATTCATCGTGGATAAAAGTGACTTGTAATTTCTTTTCTAATATTGTTTAATATAAAAACTTTAATAACGCAATAATGTATAGTTTTTATAATTTGTCTTTCTCCTATTACTCGTCTCGCTTTTGAATTTTTCTAATTCCATGATATATTTGGTCAGAAAATATTTATTAAATAATAAAGAAAAATCATGAAAACGTTTCACAGCTCCGCCAAATCACATGACAAGCTGCAGTTCGTTAAAAAAAAAATCTGTTACCGATTTGACAAAACTATTTTCCAGAAATATACATGCAGTATATAATATATTAATTTCACCTTCAAAGTACAATTTTTTAGCTTTTATTGAACATTATTTATACTTCTACTTGATGCAAGTACAGTATTTTTTATGAATTTTCAGTCCATATTTTCTTCCAAGGAATGAAATCGAATTACAATTAGAATTTAAAAATTTTAATAAAAGGGTTATATTACTAATTGTTTCATCATATGAGCAAAGTTCAATATTAAATTGTCTGATATTATTAATGAAATTTGAACGATGTAAAACTAAATCAATAATATCAAATAATTACGATGACGAGTAACATCAAAAGTATGTAAAATTGCATCATTTTAAGTGAATATCTTAATTAATGACTTATAAATAAATTTATAAATCTAAATTTTGTTTATTATAAATAAAAGTGAATGAAGGCTTTTCATTTTTTTTAATAGATGCAACTCATTTTTCAATAGAATAAATGTTTTATAAAACTGGGATAATTAAACAATATATTCGAAAGAAGATTAATTCCGTATTCATTTAATTTTATTTTATCATCATCATTTAAATCAACCAATAGGTTTCAATAAAACAAATTTTATATATATTCAATGGAATAAAAATTTTTACAAGAAATAATTGAAAAAGGATTTTCCCATAATAATTGATTATAATTAAAATTGTGAAACTATGCCGAATCTATATTAAACTATTATCTAAATTATGCTGAAATATTGGATAAAATTAGTTATAATTTTGGCATTTCGGCAATTTTAATAGCAAAAATGGTCGGTCGGTCAAAGACCCATAACCGGTTATGACCGACCAATAACCAACCGTGACTGACCGTTGCCATCCCTAGTTACAAAATATATAGTAATTTATCATTTACTACTTCTGAAGTCAATACTCCAGCTGCAACTGAAATTGCTATAGAAACTCCTGGTATTTTGGCAAAATATATTGTTTTTTCAATAAATTTTATTATAATACATTATTTGGTTAATTTACAGGTAAAAAAAGGAAAGATAAAAGGGAATAAAAGAAACCTTCCAATATAAACCAATAGAAACTTCACATGGAACAAGATCCAGCAAGAAATCTAAACAGTAGAGTTGGAGTTATATAGTGTAACTGTTGCTTAATTAAAATTTATCAGTAATTGTATACTAAAGTTAGTGTTTAATTATTTAGTAAATTTTCAGAATTTTATCCGAATTTTATTCATTTAAATATTCAATAAATTTTAATTGCTTTATTCATTTTATCATGTTAAATTTTCAGTATTTTATCCATTTTATTATTTAAACAATTCAGTAATCTTTTAGTGACTTATCTGAAACTTATCCATTTTGTTTTATTAATTGATGAATTCTCAATTATTTATCAGTTTGTTATCAGTTTATTGATTGAACGATTTAAACATATATATCATTTTGTTTAAGTAATATTTCCATATTAATTCTGATAATACAGAAAAAATATGGAAACTCCCGTTTTTACTCCATTTGTATTAATAAATAGAACTAAAAATGGGAAAATTTTTTTACGGGGCTAAATTATTTATTCCAGTTGAATTTCTTAATTCTGCTGCTTTTTAATATAATTCAAATGCTTTTTTATTATCAATATTAGTACCAAATCCATTTTTATAACAATATCCTAGATTATTTATTCCAAATGCATTTCCTAAATCTGCTGCCATTTAAATGGCTTTTGATAATAAACATCATTTCCATTTTTATAACATAGTTTTAAATCATGAATTCCAAATGAATTTCCTATATCTGCTCCCATTTGATATAATTCAAATGCTTTTTGACAATCAATATCAGTACCAATTCCTTTTTCATAACAATATCCTAAATTATTTATTCCATATTCATTTCCTAAATCTGCTGCTTTTTGATATAATTTAAATGCTTTTTTATTATCAATATCAGTTCCAATTCCATTTTCATAGCATTGTCCTAAATTACATATTCCAAATGAATTTCCTAAATCTGTTGCCTTTTGATATAATTCAAATGCTTTTTTATTATCAACAATAGTACCAACTCCATTTTCATAGCAATATCCTAAATTATTTATTCCAGATGCATTTCCTAAATCTGCTGCCTTTTGATATAATTTAAATGCTTTTTGATAATCAATATTAATTTCAATTCCATTTTCATAACATACTCCTAAATTACTAATTCCAGACGAATTTCCTAAATCTGCAGCCTTTTGATATAATTCAAATGCTTTTTTATTATTAATATTAGTTCCAATTCCATTTCGATAACAATATCCTAAACTATTTATTCCAGATGAATTTCCTAATTCTGCTGCCTTTTGATATAACTCAAATGCCATTTTCTTATTATTATCAGTTTCAATTCCATTTAAATTTAAATAATAATATCCTAAATCATTTATTCCAGATGAATTTCCTAAATCTGCTGCTTCTTGATATAACTCGAATGCTTTTTGATTATCAATGCTGATTCCAATTCCTAAATGATTAAATTTTCCAAGTAAGTAAATAGAATGCGAGTTATTTTGATTATCTAATAATAAATTATTAATCTCTAGCAAAGTTATATTTTGTTCATTAAGATAACTTAAGATCTTTTGCTTCCCTATTTCATCAGTATCATTAAAAAAATTGAACATAATATTAACCAATATATCAAAGTTATCCTTAAATTGGCTAATTGATGATAATGTTGGTTCTAGTTCTTTTATATTTATCATATCAAAATTTTGAATAACTTGAGGTAAATCTACGTGTATTGAACTAGTACTCTCAGAAATTTTAACAGTTGAATCAGAAAGTTGATGGTTATTTGATGACAGAGAATTATTGGTATTATTATATAAGTGAAAATCTTTGATAATTATGTTTTCTTTCGTTATGAGTACTTTTAGTTCTTCAACTACTTGATCAATAGTTGGACGATTATCAGGTTCAATATTCCAACAATCTACAGAAAATCATCTTCAATTAATTAAAATTATATGATTTAGATCATATAAATATAATTTTATACATACCAATATAAATTTTAATATATTCTTCAGGTGTATCATGAGTGGGTTTTTCTCTAAGGCCTTGTAAAATATCTAAAGCTAAACCAACATCATATTGTTTACCATGAAAGGGAGGCTGGCAACTGGATATTTCCCATAGCAATACGCCAATGCTATAAACATCACTTTTTTTACTTAATACATATAATTCTGTACTTCTATTAAAACTTTTTGGATCAGCATATGGAATTAATCCAAATGTTTTTGATTGAGGGTTGGATGTTTCTTCAATTCTTTTTGATAGGCCAAAATCTGCTAGCTTGACAGTATTCTGATGTACTAAGATATTATTGGAGTGCTATTCAATTACATTAAATTAAAATAATTAAATTAAGACAAACTAATTGTTAAAATACACTACGCAATCATAATAAGATGTAAATTAATTACCAAATCACAATGCACGATCCCTTCGCCATGTAAACATGATACTGCACAAACAAGTTGGAATGCAAGATTATATTTGTCATTCCAAGACATATTTTCAAGATTTTCATTCAAATATTTTCGGAGAGTACCATTGTCGGCATATTCCATTACTAGCATATACTTTTTTCTTTGGTTTTCTTTTAAAAAAGAAAAAATTTTACAAATTAGTTAATTAATTACAGTTTAATATAAAAAAAAAAAATATTATTACTAGAACTTTTGATACCTTTACTGGAAGCTGTGACACCATAAAAACGGATAATGTTATTATGAAAATCAACTTCGCGCTGAAGTTGAATCTAAGTAATGAATAGAAGTTTGTTAATAATAGAAATGTACATATATAAATTGAAATATGTTCGATATTAAAATTACCTCACGGACAATTTCTTTAACTGTAGAGTCGTTGAAATTAAAAAATGATTTTAGTGCACATTGTTTGTAATAATTCTTCCAACTTGTACGATAAACTTTTCCAAAACCTCCGAAACCAATTTCTTGCAGATCGCTGAATTGTTCAAATTCATAATATTTAATAAGTTTTTTAGAAATTGCATCTTCAATCATATTATACTCATTTGAATTTTTAGTAAGTTTAGCGTTATTAGACATTGTTGGATATACAAAAATTTTTAAATTTTGCAGCAGAATTTAATTTTACGTTTTTAAATTGAAAAAATATATATATATATATATTGTAAAACTATTTATAATAAAAATAGTGACACCGGACATTTCTATGTCGAAATTTTACTGATCTTCAGCATGCAGCAAACTTTCCCAGTATCACCGCAGAAATAAGGTAACGTTCACGTGATTTGCACTGATCATTTCTAAAAGTGTATATTGTGCTCATTCGATATTTTTTTAACGAATCACTTATATAGTTTATTGCAACTAACTTCTCTACCTATTTTATTTTTTTATTATTATTAATTTATAATTATAGAGGTTGAGCTTAACCGGTTAATTAACTGGTTAAAACGGTTAACCGGTAAAAACATTTGTTAACCGGTTAAAAAACAATTTTTAACCGGTTAAATTGATCACTTTGGTATCGCAGTACGCAGTAATTTTGACGCCATCAAGAAAATTGAAAAAAAAACATTATGTTTATAATTATTTACAGAGATATATACAACTCTCTTGATAAAAATCAAATTTTTTTATTATCTATAATGTTGACGTTATTAACAACATATTGGAGATTTATTAGTATATATTTTGATTTAATATAAGTGTTAGTATTTTTTGAAAAAAATTCCAAAGTTTTCATTTCTTTCCATAAATTAAAAAAACTTTCTAGTTCTAAATTAAATAAAAATTAATTCAAAGGGGATGACGATTTTATAACCAATAAATACAAAATTATTTTGGTTAAAATATCATGTGACATGAATGATAAATTTTTTTGCGTTATGAACAAGATTTTCATTAAATTTTCAAAGATGTCGACCCTAACCACACCGGTAAAATTTCAATATTTGAAAATGTTATTTTAATTGTGAAGATATATATAATTCGATTGACGATGATTATGGAAATTATGGAGATGTATTTCATAATAACAATGTTGTATCACTTGTATATTTTGTATTATTTGTTGCCACTTGAATTTTACATTGTGGTTTCTATTTATTTAGAAATAAATATTAAATCCTTTTCTCTAAAATATATAAAGGAAAATATCACCTCTTAAATTATTATCATTAGCATCATCATCATCGTATAATTAAAACTATGAATGCAAACTTTCAATTCTGTTAAATTAATAAATTTGAAATTGCAAATAATTTAAGTAGTTGCGATTACAAAGTTCAAGAATTCCTAAAGAATTATAATAGTTTCTTCTTAAAAGATTCACCATCTGTCTGATGTATATTATTTTATTCTCTCGAATTTTTTGAGAGAATTAAAATACTTATATTATCATTATAACAAGTTCGCAAACTACATATTGTTTTAAAAATACATTTTTGTGTTAATTTAAATATTTTGTATATTTTATGATAGTAATTTTATTAGCGATTCAAATGGCCGAATATAATACATCATTTTAATACGCTTAATTTAAAAAATTATTCTTTTTTTTTAAAAAAAAAACTTCGAGATTTGACTGTCAGGATTTTCTGACACGATATCTGACGTCAGTTATTATATGATAACAGATATATCATATAGCACGAGTAAAATCAAGATTACTCATATTTTAAAAATTTTCTAATGATATTACATAATTTCTAATTTAAACGATTTGAACAAAATTTAAAAATAAAAAATTTTTTTTATCACTCTTTTTAAAATAAAAATCAAAATTTGTAAAATCATAATAATAATAATTATAGCGAGTCTTTATTTGCTTTCTACCTCACTCATTAGTTTTGCCTAAAAAAGGACTTTTCGTCCGAATAACGGAATAAGGGAAAGATGAAGGTTTAACTATTTAACTGATCAAATTAAGCGACAAAATGGCAAATGTGGTAACTCAATAAAAGCGCGGATAAAATTGAAACTGAATACAGTTGCATTATAATGAAATCAGCAAATTTTTCAAAGTTTTTTTTTTTTGTAGCAAAATTATGCCATTATCCTAAGAAAATAAAATATAGGTTTGGATTTAACAAATAATGCATATTGAAAGATGAAAATTGCGACAGATTCGAACGAAAAAGTATTGCAAGTCATTTGACTCATTATTTCAAATAGAGTTTCGATCCGTAGCGGTTTTATCCGGTTTTTATCCGGATACCGACTCGGTTAATTTGGGCTGGGACCACCAAAATTAATAAAAATTTATGGAATAATATTATTTTAATTCTGGCCGAAATTATAGTCCACTCAAAGCCGAAATTTGTAACCTTTTTTAATCATAATCCCACGTTAAAATATTTGAGGTTTTATCCGGATCGAAACACTAATTTCAAAAAATCAACAATTTGATTAATTTTATCAAATTACACTCGTTAAATATACGGACAGTATGTTCATGAAATAATTTTATATAATAATTTATTAATATGATTTAAATTACAAACTAAGAATTTTGAAAGATGACTAATCTTACGTACTCTTGTCTTAGTGTTTAAATAATATTTAATATAAAACTTTAAAATAATAATAATAAATAATAAGTATAATAATAGTATAATATTTAATATTTATAAATTCATCTCGTCATCCGCTATATTTAAATATCTAGGAAAAAAGCACAAAAATAATTTAGTAATTTAAGAACTATTTAAAAAATTTAATATCTACAAAAAAAAAAAATTCTTACCATCAGGAAGTTCAAATGTATCTTGTTCTTCTGAATGAAAATTTGGATTATTATATACATCATCTTCATCTGTAAAAATATATTATAATTAAACAATAATATAAAATTAAGAATTTTTCTAACTATCACCGGGGGTGGTGATCACCGGTGACTGAAATTATGATAATCGACCAGCATTAAAAAAATATAGTGCCGGTAAAAATTGATAATTCTGGCCAACGGTGATGATCACCCCCGGTGATTTGAAGTAAAAATCTAAAATTAATTACTATTATTATGAAATAAATTACATACAATCAACAGTTTTGTGAATTGTGATACTTTATTATATCAAATAGACTATTATAGGCTTTTTTAAACTTGTATTACAATTATTATTAATTATAATTATTTAAAAATAAAAAGAAAGCCGATTATATAAATAAATGTGAAAAAAGCAGTATTAAATAAAAAACTAACTTTATTAGATTATATTAATATTACGTCAATAAATTTTTATGTATAAACGGATCAATACTGTTAATTGTTATATAATTGAACTAACTTTATTAATTCATATTGCAATTGCATCAGAACACATAAATAGATTAATAAAAAATCTTTGATCCCTATATTAGGAAATATTAACAATTAAGGAGATAATTGAATGATGCAAGCCTTTTTTTAGAAGAAAATTTTAATCATTTTTGGCTGACAATTTTTTATTTTTTATTTTATTTTATTAATATTTTTTTTTTTTTTACAAACTTTTTATTTCACGTTAATATCCAATTTCTATAAAATAGTAATAAAGATGCCTAAGCGAAAATTTGGTAAAATAAAAAAAAATCATAAAAAATTCCCATACATTTGCTTTAAAATATTTTTATCAATAGAATTGGTAATTACAAAAGAATTATCTACCAAAAGTATGTTACATAAATTCACTAACAATTGGTTCTGCAGAAAATATTAAAATTTAACCGGTTCTATTATTTTACTCATGTTTTTTTAGATTCTTCAAGCAATAAAATTACAACAAAAAACACTCTGATTAAGGCAAGCTCTTCATATTGTTCGATTATGCAAAATCAATGATAGACCAGCTTAAAGTGGAATTAAAAGAAAAGATAGAGAGATAAAGCAGCTTAAAGTGGAATTAAAAAAAAAGGTGGAAAAATAAAGGTATTAAAGAAACAAGTTGAAAACCTTTCAACCAAATTAAGAAAACTTGATATATTAAGTACTTACAGAAGTCCTATAAAAAATTTTATCTACAGTAATTATCTCATTATTTCTGCTTATGTAAAAATTCAGTGAAAATGATGCACTCATGGATATCTGTTGTAGCATTGGAAAGTAGCATATTAGGATATAATTATTAATAATAATTAGTTAGGGTTTTATATATTACTATGTATTTAATTGAGTTGTATTTACATTTATAGTTACAAGTTAGAAGCCCCAATAGTAAGCCATGTGATATGGTAATACAATAGGAATTAGTGTAACATCAAAATTTATAAATATGAGGGCTATTCCCTTAAAAATTAAAACAATAAATAAATTAATTATCTCATTGATCCTCTAAACATAAACATGAATTAAGTCCTTCTCAGGCCATGTTAAGTTTTATTTACATTAAAAACTAACTTCTGGTAGAATCAAAATCAGCAGAGATGGCTTTACATCATATTAGAGAGATGAGATTCAAGGCTACAAAATTCCATGAAAATAATACATTTCACAAATAAAATATATAAACACAGATCAGAAGAAATAAACAAAGTTAATAAAGAGATAAATGATTGGACAAAAATTATAAATACTCTAAAGAGTTGAATGATACAAAAACCCTAAGGTAGTAACAAATAACTAGAAAATATCTTAGAAAGTTTAGTTTAACATATGAAGAATTTAATAGTTTGTAAGGGCTGTAACATATTAGCAATTTCACATTTCATAAAAATTTCAGTTTTGAAAATTTACAAGAGATTAAGTCCCCCTCTCAAAAATACACAGTTTCCGGATGATTGGAAACTCACAAAACAAGCGCTTACAAAAATCATGGGTCCTCTTGGAAATTGGTTATTGTTGCAGCAAGCTCCTAAACACGAAGAACTGGTTTCAAAAACATATGACGAGCAGCTGGACAGAAAATGAAAAAAGTCAGCCGATATTTCTCTTCCTGATGACAGAAAACCAAACAATGGAGTTGAGAGTAAATTCTACTAATATGAATTTAAAAAACAACATGACATATAAAAAATCTTTATTTATTGTTTATTGACTTTGTATGAATGTATGATTCCAATTTCATGGAGTTATCTTTATAAATATGCTTGTAAAAAGAATTATTTTTCATTTCACATTTATTAGATAATTCAATAAAACTTTTAAAAAATGAATATATTACCAAAGCGAATTTCATGTGACAAAAACTTTCATTCAACTATATTAAATTTTGGAAATATCTTAATGGTATTAATAAGGTTTTTTCCCAAATAATACAAGATTGAAGAAAGGAACTTATAAACTTTTTATTAATGTATGTTTTATAAATGTTTAAGTTCAAATATGATATATTATCCAATATTTCAATATCCAGAAGCAAATATTTCTTTTTCAAAATCTATATGAATTATATTATAATGTAGAAGGCCAAACCCTAAAAATGGTCTGAGAACAAATATTATTAATAATTCTTTTTTAAAAAATCATCTGCAATTTGCTTGGGAACGATGCCAACCAATCAGTCGGACTGACACTAGGTTTCACGTTTTTATTTCTGACTTCGGTAGAACTTTATCACTTAATACCGATAAGTAACCTACCTAAAAAATGCATGAAAATAAAATTTGTTAAATAAAATTTTTTTTAAAAAATCATTTCAAAGCTTGGTAATTTGCCTGAGTCGGCCCTAGTCCATACCGTACGTGATATAATAAACGAATCGAATAATTCAGATCATTTTTGTTAAGTATAAAATTTTTGAAAAATTATCGTTGTGACCCCGAATATGTCCATTTGGGAGTTGAATTTGTTGAATGTTGCCAAGTTCTTTTGATAAGAAGATTTTTAATGTCATTATACTAGTAAAACTTTGTACAATTGATTTTATTAAATAATTAGCCAATAAGAAGTTGATAGGTTTTGTTAATTTCGATAAGTTTCTATTGGCATGTTTTGGAAATTTTGGAGGTTTCGGAAATTTGGTAATCTTGCAAAAATAGTTTCGCCAAATTTGGAATCGCCTCTGGCAAAACTCATAGGTTTCGCCCACAACACTATCTTCAAATACTTGAGTTATATAAAATATCACTTCATATTGTAATTGATATTGTTCAAAATAATAATGGAAATCTTAAAAATTAAAATTAGATTTCCTAGTTGTGATCAAGCAAAAGAATATAATTAGGCAATAAATGTTGTTTAAATCTAAGACATGTAGCAGTATTTTTAAATAGAGATAAAACTCTGAAAGAATTAGATAATATTTTCATCAAATGTTAAATATTTAGAAGCAATAGATATAGATGATAAGATCATAGTTAAATATCGTAATAAATTCCTGAATTTGTAAAACAGCAATTTGAGATGCATTTAAATTTACTTATTAAAGAAATTAGTAACTGCACAAAATAACGTGTATATATTTTGAACTTAAAAATTTATAAATTAAATATCATATTTTGAATAAAATTACTTCATCCGATATTGTATATTTATCTTTTTTGATTTGAAATACTTCATAATCTTCTATAGAAAATTGATCTTCATATCTTATCATTTTTTCATAATGATACTTTCCACAATAACTATAGTAAACTCATCATTCTGAGAACATATAGTAATAGTATCTCTGCCAAAATTTGGACCATGATGTCGGTTATAAAATAATGCATTATCTGTATTTACTATATAACTAATAATTGCATCATTAGCATTATTATTCTTGAAAGAAAAAATAAAACTATCTTTTAGTTTTACTCCAATCACCAGATGATTACCATTTTAAAGGATTATTCCCACCAAGAATTTCTTCCGTTCCACTTACTTTAATAAAAGTAATATTATTATTCTTACCATCACATAATTCATGAAATTTTTTAGTTGTAAATCCATCTCGACTTCCTCTTAATAATAATTGAAATTTATATGGTAAATATAATTCTCTTAAATGATCGAATTTGCTATTAATAATAATAACTATTTTATCAATCCATTTCGAAATAGTTGATGTAATTTCTAAATTAACAATCTTTATATCGATAATGCTCTCAATTCTAATATTTCTAGGAGGTAAAATGTTGACACCATTAGGATCCAAATGAGATTTTAATAGAGTTAATATTTTCACTTTGTAAAAAATCTTTGGATGATAAACTAAAAAATCTAATCAAGGATAAGGAATGTTTCCATTGTTTTAAAATAATCATCGACCAAATATTAGGATCAGGAAGAAGTGTTGGATTTGGTGCAAGACCCATTTTAATATATATTCCCAAACTTCAACTTCTTTCATTTGTAAATCATCTCTTTTAATAAGTTGAATTAAAGATTTTTCAGGAAGTGAAATAAAATCGAGTGATTTAAATATTTTCTCTGGAAAATTTGCCATAAAATCAGTACAAAATTATTGAAGTTCTAATAAAGAAATGTATTAAAAGCTTGTTCAATGAATAAGTTCAAAATATTGTTCCATCCATTCGGCTTTATTTTCAATTAAATATTTTTGTAAATAATTAACTAATTCTTGAAGAAGCAGCTCATTCGCAGCCAATAATAGTTTAAGAATCTCTAAAGTATCATGTTCATTTAATGGAAGAATACCACCATAAATATACCTATGGTCTACCATATGTACTACATACGTCATTATCTATATTATAAACATTTGAATTTCGAATTAGAATATCTGAAAGTCTAAGGTTATGAAATTTATTGCATATAAACTTTAAAATAATTTGAAACAATTCCCGAAATCCGATGATATATTTGTTAAATTTAATAATATGAACTAGAACATTATCTTTATTCGCTTTTTTAGAAGCCAAAGTTCGTCGTAAATATTGAGAGCGGTAACTTAAAATAATCCTGTGAGCCCGAAATATTTTTACGTTAGGGTCTTCACCAACTTCAATAGTAACGTCATAATATTTCATCGTTTTCTAATAATTCAATATAATTTTCACTTAATTTTAAAAAAAATTGAGTGGACATTTTTTTTTTTGATCAAAAAAAAAATGTAGTTATTACGTACAATCGAATATACCATGATGTACTACGCGCAAGTTCTTCGCAAAATCTGGTTAGTTAGTCGGTTAAAATATATTTTGTTATTTCACAAATAAGTATCTAATATATTAATAAATTGAATAATCATATTTGTTATGCCTTAAACAAGATTTATATTTTACATTATAATTTGGTATTTTAATAACTTAATAGCTTTACTTTTTTGAGTAGGTATCAGAACACTATTATTTTTAGATTCCATCTCAATTTTCAAATTGCTTATTCACTTAATGATTGATCGGATTTTTTAAGTAAATAGTAATTCCTAATACTTTGTATTATTGATTTTTAATAAGTGCTCAAATTATTTAAGAAAGATGTTCTATACGCGATTCCAAGAGTATAATTATCCTGTTATTTACTATTTAAAGGTTATAACAAAACACCTTTAATATCAACTTGTTCTGTAGTATTATTAACACTAGAACTGAGTAAAGGTTTCGTATATTAGTAAAAACTTTCCTTTTTTGATGGTTGGTTAAACAGTTTTTACGTTAAAGCATTATCAAAATAATGGCGTTAGGACAAAAAGATGAAACAATCTAACTAATCAAGTTTTTGCGTAACCGTAGAAATTTATTGCATGAGTTATTAGTACGGCATGTTGCGCAGTTGACAATAATAAAAAATGATTAAAATTGTCTATTTCTTTAGATAACATGTGAACATAATATGATTTTTTTTTATCTGCAATTCTGCACCCATTTGAATTAATAACGCCGCTGAACGTTTTTTACTGCTGTAATAATGGATGATCCGTTAGACGGAAATGTTACTACATTTTTTCATTAATAAAATTTCAGATAAAGTTGCTATTTCCGGATTTAGGTTTGTACTTTGCCTTAAACTTTAAAAGATTTATTATATTCAAAATCCTTACAAAATACAACTAGAACAATTGGTTTTTAACATTAAAACAAAGATTTTGGAATTTATGAGCTAGAAGATCACCATTAACGAAAATTTAAGACGAGTCATTTTACTGCCGAGTGGAAATTTATTGTATTATAAATCTTTTTATTATAAGTGATATCAATATTAGTCCTATAAATTTTAATTAACGGTAGAAAAAAAATTTTTTTTTACGTAATATCACTTATAAATAACTAATGCTCATCTCAATCATTCGTTTTTATTGTAAATATATTTTTAGATTAAGGTATTTACAATTTAAAAGTTATTGTCTTACGAAATTTAATTGTGAAATAACTATATTTATTAATGTTCTGCACATTCACTATAATGTAAAGGATAGGATAAATTAAAAAAAAGGCTAAAACCAATCTAAAGTTATTACTAACCTTGGACTATAGGGATAGGAAATTTTTCACGCGTACCACGCCTTTCCTTTCTTAATTATTACCGCATACTATGGAAACAAGGGCATGTGTTTTAACAATCTTCAAATTTATGAATTATGACATGAAAAATAAATCATTAAATATTCTTATTTAAATTAAATGACAATTATTATGTAAGATGATTAGATTATAGATTGAGATAAATTAATGAATTGAAAATTTTAAAAATAATTTATTGGATAAAATACGATAAATGTATTAATATTGTAAATAAAGCGGCGCATTTAAATTTTCAAATTAGAAATTGCACACAAAAATAACGTTTATATATTTTAAACTTGAATATTTATAAATTTCATATTTCAATTTTCGAATAAAATTAATACACTTAATCTGCTGATGTAAAAGATATCGTATATTTATCATTTTGTGATTTGAAATACTTCATAATCTTCTATAGAAAATAGATCTTCGGAATCTCTTATCTTTTTTTCATAATAATTCTTTCTACAATATCTATGACTATAATCTTCAAATTCACGCCGATATGAATATATTATAAGATCTTCTCCAAAATGTGGACCATCTTTAGAGCCATTATAAAGTGCACAACTCAGATATTCTATATTACTAATAATTGCATCATTAGCATGTTTATTCTTGAAAGAAAAAATAAAACTGTCATTAGCCTTATTATAACCACCAGAAGATTCCCATTTTAACGGATTATATCCCCCAAGAATTTCATCTGTTCCTTTTACTTTAATAAAAGTAACAGTATTATGCCAACCATCACATAATCCATGAAATCTTTTAGGTGTAAATCCATCTCGACTTCCTCTTAATAATAATTGAAATTTGTAGGGTAAATATAATTCTCTTAAATGATCAAATTTGCTATTATTAATAATTGTTTTATCAATCCATTTCGAAATAATTGAAACAATTTTTAAACTAACAATTTTTGTATCAATAATTCCCTCAATTCTAATATTTCTAGGAAGTAAAATGCTATCATTTTGTTCACTATTAGGATTCAAATGAGATTGTAATAAATCTTCATAAAGTTGATGTTTTAAGAGTTTTTTATAAGGATGAACACTTTGTAAAAAATCTATGGACGATAAACTAAAAAATCTAATTAAAGATAAGCTATACTTTAAAGTATTTTCCATTTTTTTAAAATCATCATCCGACCAAATATTAGGATCAGGAAGAAGTGTAGGATTTTGTGCTAGACCCCATTTTAATACATGTTTCCAAACTTCAACTTCTTTCATTTGTAAGTCATCTCTTTTAATAAGTTGAATTAAAGATTTTTCAGGAAGTGAAGTAAAATCGAGTGATTTAAATACTTTCTCTGGAGAATTTGCCATAAAATCAGTACAATATCGTTGAAGTTCTAATAAAGAATTGCATTAAAAGCTCGTTCGATGAATAAGTTCAAAATGTTGTTCCATCCATTCATATTTATTTTCAATTAAATATTTCTGCAAATAATCAACTAATTCTTGAAGCAGTAGCTCATCCGCTGCCAATATCAGTTTAAGAATCTCTGAAGTTTCATGGTCATTCAATGAAAGAATACCTCCATAAATATACCTAAGTAAGATTTTTAAATTTCGAATTTAATTTTGAATTTCTGATATTATAGTATTAAAAATTAGTGTGTAAACTTACTTTAAAATATTTTGAAACAATTCCGGTGATATATTTGGCAAATTAATATGTACTAAAGCATTATCTTTACTCGCTTTTTTAGAGGCCAAAGTTCGTTGTAAATATGGAGAACGATAACACAAAATAATCGTGTGAGCACGAAATATTTTTACGTTGGGATCTTCACCAACTTCAATGGTAACGTCATAATATTGATCATCATCTAATAATCTAATGTAATTTTCACTTAATTTTGAAAAAAATTGAACAGTCATTTTTTTTTTTTTTTAAAAAAAAAAAATGGGAAAGTGTATAATTGAACTAGATCACATGTAGCTAAATTAAATATTGATGCACAGTAGTACAAGTATTACGCCAATCTGCGGCTTGTACTATATTATTAAGATCTTTATTAGCCTCGTGATTTAATTTGTTACTACAGTCACGTTATAATCGTTATATGCAATACATTTTTGTTTCTCTCTTTTTCTCTCTTCCTTTTCTCTTCTTTTTTATTACTTAAAAATATCTTTAATCCAGTGGTTGAGAATCTTTAGTTCCTTTTGAACTTTAAATTATTGTGGGAATATTTTTCATATTAAAACTTATTTTTTTTTTATGATGGACACGATTTTTTTGTACAGATTTACATAAAAATAAGCTTACCTATTCAAATAAGTAAAGCAGTTCGGTATTATCGAACTACTCATTAAAAATCTATAATCATTTTTTGTAATTTATAAAGATAATTTATGGTGTAATTTAAGCATTTTGATCAAATATAGCTAACTTTTATTAAATAAGTGAAGTTGTTCCGTAGGTATGGAGATTTTTATTAATTTCATGATGGTTGAGTAAATATTCATGGCGTTATAGTTATTTTTACAATAAAATTTATTGTGCGCGTATATAATTTTTTTTTATAGAATAATTTCATCACTTCAGTCAAACTATACTGGCACAGCAGCATGGCATATTATTATTGAGGAATAATGTAAAAATACATACAGTATAACAGATACAAAATAAAAAATTATTGACATGTATTAAAAGAAATCTGGAATGCTCAAGAAATACTATTTTTTATCAATTGTGACGGAGCAATTTGATAATACTTGATAAGCAAAATATTACGAAAAATTAAGACTAGAAAACAAAACCCGTCATGATTCCGGGAAATTTTGAAAATCAAATGCCAGCCCAGGCCCGGCCTGCTTCTATATTTGTATTTTCGTTGCTAGTATCTTTAATATCGTTATAACTGTCGGGATTTAATTGAGAAGGTAATGTTTCATCAAGATACGCGCCTTCAGAGGTAAGAGCGTGAAATAGAGCAAAAACAAAATTCGTTCGTATATCCGATTCTAATTAATACAATAAGTTGAATAAATAAAGGGAGAATTAAACGATTTTGACGAAAAACAAATCTCCATCTAACTAATTTCATCAAGAATTCCACGTTTTTAAGTATTAATTTAAAAATATTCGACAAAATTACTAGTGAATTATGTAATAATTGTGAGCCGGCATTTAGAATTGATTATTGTATTTATTTGTCAAGTCATGATGTAATTATTTGTTTTAAGAAATTAAAAATGATTATAAATTCATAAATGAAATTTTTGGTTGCTTTAAATAAATTTCTTTTACTTTTGTAAAAAGAAAAAAAAATAAATTAATTATATTGAGAATTTATATACTGTATATTAAATTTATTTACTGTTACTTATAATACGTGATATGAAATTATATAATTAAAGAGGGTAAAATGGATGCGTGTTACAATAAATAAGAATTACTTTAGCCTGAAAATCATCAAATTTCTAAATTTGGTAAATTATGAAAGTAATTTCTTTTCATTCGTTCATTCTTATCATAGATCACGCTAAAAATTTCCAAAATTTGATGAGTATTTAGAAATTTAGATTGAAGTATGGAATATGTATTAAATAAGAGTCTTGTACAAAAAGCGTAACCTTCATTCCAGATCTTGAAACTTGGTCTGAACAATGAAAAGTATTCTACATTTGGTTAGATTTTTTTCGTATATCATCTGAAAAGTTTCATAAAAGTTCATCCATATCAAAAACTTTTAAATCAATAGCTCTATAAAGAATTATTAAACTTTTATTTGGATCCTGACAATGTATCATCTCATGACATTGAACTTACTAGGAAAGATAAATATTGAAATCACTAATGAAGTTATTTGTTCGCGAGTCGTTGATTCTGGTATTGTTTCAACTATTTCAAGATAAATAGATAAAGTGGTTATTAATTATAACAATTTTAATGAATCATATTTACCATATAAATTTGATGGATTTGCCTCTTAATGAATGTAACAATATTAGGTTTATTATCGCATAACAGATAATTCATTGAAATTTTTTAAAATAAAAGAAACAGAAGAGGTTATTGGTTGATATAATCTGATAATATCGGCTCTTCTAATCATTGGTAAAACCAAAGATAGTTTTATATTTTCTTTTAAAAACAAGAATAATTTAAAGGTGCAATTTTGAGTTATGTGAAAATATGGATTGTTTGTGCTTTACGGTTCAGTTTTACAGCTGGTCCATATTTTTGTTGTAATATTAATATACTGATATCACTGAATATCATATGAGTCAATAAATTAAAAAATAAATAAAAATAAGAAATTGTAAAACGAGAATTTTTTTGATCATAAAAATTATATTAACTACAAAATTTATTTTATTAATGAATTGTTAATAAAAAAAATAATGCCAACTCTTATGACGAGCAAGCTTCTATATTACAAATTCCCATACCAAACTTTAGTCTTCACCATCTACAACAAATAGAATTCTCAGGCAAATGCTGCACTACCTCCTTCTAGACATTGGCAGCAGTAACTAAAAAAACAACGCAATTTCATTATAAAAGATGGTTAAATTTTATAAATAATACATATAATTTCAATTGATTATTTTATCACAATTTTTTTTTTTTTTACAGTGTAAGCAAACATTATATAATAATAAAAAGTTGGAATATTAATAAAAATTTTAAAACTGACTTTTATTGCAAATACTAGAACTTAAAATTTGTTATACATTAAAACAAATAACAAAAATCTAAAATACCAATCCTCACTGTAATTTAAAAAAGCTGAATGAATGGAATCTAAAAAATATAAAATATAGTAAAACGGGTTAGAAGACTCGGGTACTCTAAGTAAGCTTTGCAGAAAAGACAAATTCAAGCCCCCATGCCTACTATCAACTGACATTAACGTATATCGTGAGTGATCAAACTCGTGCAGAGGTACTGTCACATTGATAATAAGACATGAGACCCACCACCAAAGGGACGGGCCCCACATACAGAAGTCTGCGACATAGCTTGAGACATACTGATATAGTATTATTTTCTCATTAAAGGTAACCAGACTACTAGAAGAGGAGGATAACCAAAGCACTCTAGGTGCACTAGTCCCTTATACATCCCAGCTTAGTCATTTCCACTTACCAGAATAATAGAAAATATTATTGTCTATTCAGGTTTGACGCTTATTCCAATTTTTTCTTTAACGTTAAGCCTTCGTTTTTAAAAAAAAAAAAAAAAAAAAGGAAGGCTATTATTGAATAAGTGTTCATAACTATTTTTAAATAAATTTTTAGTATGTTTTTCGTCGTTTATTTACTATAAGTTTTCTTTAGCGAAAATTTTTAACGAAAATAGAGAAGTTTCGACGAAACTTTTTTTGACTAGGAGCGGCCGAAAGACTAGAGATATTTTTGTGTTTCTGAACAGGGAGTTAAAAAATGCGATAAAGAAAGAATATTTATATATTTTTTATTTTTATTTATTCAAATATAAACTTAATAAGTACGAGTATAAGTACAGAAATAAATAAAAAATAAATTTCGAGTGCGAGTGTAAATAAAAATAAGAAAAAAAATGACTTTTTATAGAATATTTCATGGGAAAATTTGATGTAAGTCATTATTAGCTTACTGATCATAATCACAATTTTAGGTTCCGATGCATCTTCTTATGAGTCATTTAATTATTTATATGCCACTATGAATCTATAGATGTACGTTGGAGCAAAAATGGATTTTTTATATAAAAAAAAAATAGTTTGCGTTATTTTTAAAGTTTGTAACAAATATTTATTTTAATAAATATTTTTATACATTATAACAAGGAAATATAAATTATAATACATGTCCATAAAAATAATGTTTATAATATGAACCTCCGTAATATTTTTTTAAATATTTCCGTTATATTTATAAAAATCCGCGAAAGTTGAATATTCCATGATTTGAGGTTATAAATATGCAGAAAAGACATAAAGACATGGAATAAATACATTAATTACGGACGCCTAATGAAGTTTCCTCCTAATTGTTTTTTTTTATAAATGATAACAGGAATTATTATAATAGCTAGCTGACTGTTTTTTACACAAAATTTCGAAAAAAAAAAAAATTTTTTTTTTACTTGTTTCGACTTAAGAGATCTCTTTCGTTATGGACAAAGATAAGCAAAAATTTTTACTTCATACAATAAAATAAAATAAAATAATTGCTAAAATACAAATTATCGACAAAATAAAAATTATAAATTTTAAAATTATTGACTTAAAAAAAAATTATTTATTAAATTTTCTTCAAGATTAAATAAAGGAGAAAGAATTTTCCAATATATTTTTTTTTAGAAAATTCATAATAGTTTACCGACGTATTGATAATTCAAAATCTTAACCTTCATTCCTATTTAAGATACCGATATAAAGCCATAAAAGAGCGACATTGTTTATTGTGTTTCAAAATACATTTCAAGATATATATTATTGCAACAATTATATTTATAAATTCTTAACTTAAAATACTGTTTCTCATAAAAAGTGCAATTTAAATATTTTAGCATTTAAAATTTTAAACTATTAAAAAAATAATTGACTATACTTTATAACTTAACGAGTATTACGAGTATCATTAATATTTTATATATCATTTTTAATAGTTCAATTATAAACTGATCTTTACCCATTTTTTACAATACAACGTACATCAGTGATAAACGTATTCGCCGACATTTCCTTATCTATTATTTTAATGAACGTATTGATTAAATTATTATCAATGAAAACTCCAAATTAAGCAAATAAAAAGTTTATAGTTATTATGGCTTGTGAAATTTAATAGAACAGAAATAACTCATCTAAAAAAGTGAGATATAAGATAATTAAAGCTAATATTGTTGAAGAATATGAAGAAAACTCATTAAAATGTTTCTT